ACCACCGCCGTCGTCATCACCAACGCCGTCATCTACGTCCGCCCCTTCGTCCTCCACGAGCTCCTCCCCTGCATCGATTCTGTCGCCTTCAACCCTCACGCCATCATCAAGGTCCAACTCCGCCCCCCCGAATCTCGCTTCCTGCATCCTGTTAGTTATCGAAATTCGAAATTGTTCGCTATGTGGCGTTTGATTGAATCTTAAATGTATTGATCACTGAACACCTAAACCCTAGAAATCTTGAGTTGATTAAGTAATTTCTTGGAAAATTTCTACACGGATCATGCCTTTACTGGAGATTCTGATTACTATGGAGTACCCTTTGATACTTTTCCTTTTTTTTTTTTTTGTGTTTAGCTTGATTAAGTAAGTTTTTTGAAAAAAAAATTGTACAAGAATTTCCGGAGACTAATAAGTTATGGATAAACTAAAAACTTAAAGAACTTACAAGAAAAATAGAGATGGTTCTTTTTTTTTTTACTTTTTGAAAAATAAGGAGCTAAACAAGATTTTAGAAAACCTCTACACAAGCCCTTAAATCATTGTGATTATTCTTGCATAGAGAACAGGCTCATCTTAAGCTCTGTGATTTATCTCTTCAATTTGAAATTAGAGGCGCAATACAGTGTGTATTAACAAGTGGCAAGTTGATTTCTGTTTATATTTTGTGAAATTGAAGCAAATTGTACTATGCCTCGCCCATAGACTTGTACTTTAATACTCTTCAATTGGTTATATGCTTGATCAACTTGCCCTCTATCAGAACCTCCTACTCTGCTGTTACTAGAAATTTCTAAAATACTTAAATACCTAATCGTCATGAAACAAATATCATACATCATATTTTCTATAATACTCGTTTATTGCGGAAATTTTGTACAGGATGGGGACCGCAGACGATTCTTGTTATCCGCACTTTATCACAACAGTGAACACCACTTGCTCTGCAACATGTGGTCACTTTACAGGAAGGGGCTTCAGCTGGAAATTTCTATGGGTAGCGTGGAGTTCGCGTGCATGATTGCTTCGTTGCTTGGCCTCTCGCGTGGAGTTCAGATCCTTTTGGCCAAAGGCCTCCTTTTTTACTTCGGCATCAAGTACCCATACTATATGGAGAGTACTCTGTTGGATTTTCTGGTGTTCTCTTTGCCATGAAAGTTATCCTCAACGCCCAACACGACTCTGTTTCTGTGAACGGAGTGATATTCCCATCACATCTAGCTGCCTGGGCTGACTTATTTAGCATCCAAATTTTTATGCCGCATGCATCATTCTTTGGCCACCTCGGGGGGATTATCGCCGGACTTCTATATGTTTGGCTGAGAGATTCTTTTGGCGAAAAGGACCCAGTTGCTGCTATCATTCGGGATGGTGGTAGGATACTAGGGAGGACTTTGAGGTTTGTATCGAGCTTATTTAGGCCTCAGAGTCCAAGTATATCACGAAGCCAGAGTGAGAGGCGTTGTTCATGGGGTTCTTTTTGGAGATGCCAAGTATGTAACTCTGATAACTCAGGTGTGGTTAATCTCTGTGAGATGTGCAGCACAGAGCGTAGTGGCGCTGCATTCTCATTGGCGAGGTAGCTCCATCGTCTGGATATATGATCAGTATGTGGTAAAGAATGAAAGCTTTTTGAATCAATATGGGGGTTTTCTTGTTTTCTGCATGTTCAAGCTAGCAACTTTCAGTTGTTGTCCTCCTTGATTACCTACTCTTTGATTTGAATTTCTGAAGATGATGCAGTTGGCAATTTACTGTAAGTTTTGAGTTCAAGAAAGCTAGTGGGTAGTTGTTAAATGTTGTTGTATATATGTTGATGTAGATATTATATCTGAGATGCTAATTCTCTTCCTCTGATTACACGCACTTGGCTTAAAGAATCTAGTATATTTGTGCAGTTACATTGTCATCAATTGATCCGAAAGTTTTTGCCAATGATTTGTTCAGTCTACATCAATTCTGTCATTTCTGCAAAGTATTTAGATTGTAGTTTGGAGTATTTCTGTAGTTTAATTTATGATGCGTTTCTTGGCTTCATATTTGAGTGAATTGGTTACCAAGTGAAGTCTTAAAATACTCAATTTTGCAGGAAATCTTTGCTTCTCTTGCTCGTGCTGCGTGTTGCAACTACTTACTGGACAATGTATTGTATTGTTGAATGCCTGTCATTTTTATTAGTTCCTCGCTTTATTGTTATGATTTTTGTTAACTTAATTTTCGACAACCTCCTTTGTCTCTACATATTTATTTGATATTCCAGAATTCTTCTTGGTTGTTTAAAATATTTTCAGGCCATGCCCTTAAAAACAAAACTGCGAAGTATATACACTGTACTCGTAAGTGCTTAATCAAATGAGATTGGCCAAAATTACTAGAACCGGGATTATGTTTCAATTTTTTGATTCAAAATATTGTAATTAAGAAATATATAATTAAACTTAGAATTTGTAGAAGAAAACTACACATCAAATACTGCCGCCTTTGATTGAGAGCAAAATTCCAACAACCCCCCCCCCCCCCCCCCCCACCACCACCACCACCCCCCACCCGCACACACACCCAAAGAAGGCTAAAGGTTATACAAAAAAATGAATTGGATCACTTCCAAAATACAATATTAATAAACTTCACTTCCAAGTAAAGGAAAACCATCGATGTTCATATTTCCGAAATAGGAAATTCATGTAGCTTTTGCACCCATTTTTTTCTCAACCAAAAGCTTAGTTTATATTCAAAACATATTTCTCCTTTATAAAAATGAAGATATCCAAATAATGCATGAGACGTCAATTTCCTTGCAATACCTACATTTGTTGCTACGACATTTGCTACAAAAATATTTTGCAGCAAGCAGGAGATGGTTTATAATAAAGCTTGATGTGGTTCTGCTTCAAATGACCGTAAATATACCCGACAGTAACAAAGTTCTTACCAACATATGAAACCGTACAAAGAAAACCAGCCGGGCAAGCATTTCATCCACACTAACAACCTCGGCTAGAAGAGGTGGGAGAGGTAAAGCGAAAGTGAAAAATATTTATATGCTGTCTCTTTGCGCAATAAAAGTCTCTTTTAAAAGCCATGTCAATGCTCAAAATTTCAAATCATAAATACATATTCTGATTATTCACTTGACAAGAAAGGGCACATCAACAGTAAAAAAAAAACCCTGATTTATTGTCTACCTTATTTTTCGACATAAAGATCAAAGATATCTATTCAGCTAGAAAATAGGAACCAAAATAGTGTTATCGGATTCAGATAATGCATCGCTAAGGATCTTAGATCCACATTCATAATGTACAAGAGCTTGACAAGAGAGAAACTGATCAGCCTGTCAGCTGCAGAACTACAAGTAGCACGAGATCGACATTGTTGCATATGTTGAAGCACTGTTTGGTTAGGACAGTCTTCACTCCACATTGTTCAAAGAGGTCCTCTCTTGTTTTTCCTGGTACGAAAAAGGGAATGATGTGAGGATAAAAACTACACCATTATGATAGAAGCTAAAAGTTTTAAGTAATCGTAACAGGTATTTCCATACAAGGATGGTGACAATATAATACTTCGACAATGTAAAAAATTGAGTTTCACTACTTAGTCAAATCGTTGAGGTTGAGTTACACGTGCGAAACTATTTCATTTCTGACCTTTCTCCTAGCTCACTGAAACTGCCATAGACATTCTGATATTATTCTTCAAAAAAATTTCACACATTTCAGATAAATTTCTTTCAGATAGACCCTCTTATATCTCAAGCATTCAACTTCTGTCACACCAAGTTACTATCAGAGGGTCCCGTCAGTTGAACAAAGTGTAAAGTTAAATCTTTAACTCATGATATGATGATGTAGCAGTGATGACAAAAAACGCAGCGCCGCTGTGGATATGGGACAACAATTGCAGGCAAACCTAGGCTGTGGAAGGGGTCATTGACGTGCTGAAAACATATGTTCCACAGTATGTACTTCTTTGCTGTGGCTGAATGTGGGAGCACTTATCTATAGCCACAGTCACATCATAAATCCTTGAAAACTTAGGATATGACATGGCAGCAACACACAAAAAAGAAATTATGTTTCCATTAACCTTCATTGGTCGTGAACCTCAACAATGATTTTTTTTTTAAATTTAGCAAAAACTATCATTGCATATTTGCATATTATATCAAATTAATCATTCAAATACTTAGGGGACTCAAGTAGGCAATAAGTTGTTTTTATCGTCATCATTGAAGAATCTTAATCCATATCCCTTCACATATGAAGCATGTCCTAACTTTGTCTATATGTTGTGTTAAAAACAATTGGTAACATTTTACGTGTAGCACATGCAGAAATATGTAAAATGCATATGAAAAAAGTATATCAGAAGTGTGAAGCTGCATTAATAAACATTAGTTATTAAGACTTAAGGGATTTTAAATAAGCATATCTTAAACTTGTCTATTTGTTGTCATCAATTATTATTTTGCGCCAATAAGATTTTACATTCAGCATAATCACGCACAGGAATATGTGAAATGCATAAGAAAGAAATATCTCAGGAGTACGAAGCTGCACTTAGAAAGTTCACAAAACAAAGTGTGGGATACATATGTGATGAGTAACTAACAGAGTGTCAGGTTCAGCACATATCAAACACGAACATAGTTTCATAGTAAAATTAGTTATGCTATGTAGCAGGGTAGTTACAAGTTCCAGAGACTTTTCCATGATTTTGTACTCTTCTTCAATCATTTAACCATCTAATGAACTACCGTAAGTTTACATCCATAACAGTGTGATAACAATTAATAGATATACTGCTCACAACTGCTGATAGCGTTAATATCACAGATTTAGGAGCATACCTTAGCCAGCCATCATGAAAAGCACACCCACGTGCATCTAGAAATGAAGCCAGCTATACATAGTAGATCATCCCCACTTCAATGAGGCTAATGTGAGGTATGTTTAGCGCCACTCCAGGACCCCTGCAGTTTTTTCTAAGGAAAGAATAGGCCACATTGATAACAAACTTCTTCAGAAATGATGAATTCTTTCTGGCCTTTATATACGAGTGACCCATCACATAGGCAACCCCTGCTTGCTTAGCCTCTATGAGTGCTGCTAACTCTTCTCTCACCTGTGGATCTATATACACGGCCTGAGGTGGCAGCTCGAATCGGACGCGGCGTCTACGAGTTACACTTGGTGACTCATCCTCATACAGAGACTGTAAGCTTTGGAGAGTTTCGGATTTGCTACTTCTCAAAACAGTAGATTCACCTAAACCATTTTCCTCAGCATCCCTAACCACCAAACTCGTGCCTAATCTCTCAGAAGTCCTTATAACCGCCATTCTTCCCTCTGGAGATACCTCATAGCTCCCTGAAGAGTTCTCCTCAGCCTCCATTTGAATGAACTCCGCAATACTCAAGACAAGATGATTCTCAAAATCATCTTCATCTTTTTGCACATCTTTGTACCCATATCTCACAATACAGCGATACATCCTGTAGGGTCGAGGGCCTATTCTTCCTATCAAGTATCGTTCATCTGGTGGAACATATGGAACTGGCACCGATTTCACACAGACAAAGACAAGAACTTGATGAAAAGCAGGAAGGTTAGTTACAAAGTGCGAGAAGATAGCGGGGACTCCTGTAACCAGCTCTGTGTAAATCAATCCAATTCCCGGCACACGAACAATACCAAGGCTAGGACCAAGAGTAAGAATCCATTTCATTGAAACTTTGTTCTGTAAGTCAAAGAGATACTTTCTTCGAGTGCCATAGTGCCATACATACATAATGATCATGAAGACAACAGCAAGTGCAAGGGGTGCCCATCCTCCCTTAGGAACTTTCATGATTGAAGAAGATAAATAACATATCTCTATCAGTCCAAAGAACAGGAGAAATAAAGCAGCAAAAATGATGTGCTTCTGCCACACAAAGATGATGACAAGTGCCATTAGCCATGTCGTCACAAACATCACAACTATGCAAGCGATGCCTGAAGAATAAGAATCATGTTTACACTCAGTAATTGATAATAATAAAAGTATCAAAAAACCATTAGAGAATTACACAAATCAAAAAGTTCTTTCATTGAGCATTCTATGCATGCGCTAAAAAGGTAATTGCATTTCTATACAATACAAGATTATGCACATGTTGTTTCAGAAGCACTAAGAATATTTTCTTCTCATAAAAAGAATACACGCTACTCGCTTTGTAAAAAAACATACCATAAGCGTTGCCGATAAGGTTTGTGTCACGGAATCCAAGTGTCACAGCCAAACAAAGAACCATGAGGATCCAGTTTATTTCAGGTATATATATTTGACCGTAGATCCACCTTGATGTATGAACAACCTTAACACGTGGAAAACACCCCAAGGCATGGCATTGCTTTACAATGGAAAATGTTGCCGAGATGACAGCCTGACTAGCAACTATAGCGGCAAGAGTGGCTACAACAAAGACAGGCCAAAATACAGGCTCTGCAAAGCGAACAGAAACAAATCATTATGCTTGAGCTTTTGGTGCTGAATTCATTCTTGTCTAAGCCTTACTTGGAATAGATGCATAGAAGCTCGTACGAACATTGGAAATGTTTTTAGAAAGATAAGCTGCCTGTCCCATATATTGTAGCACTAGACAAGGGTAAATCATGCCAACAAATGCCACCTGCGAGAGAGTATTCAAACAAATTACTTCTCACTGAATTTAAATGGAAAAAGTTTACCTTTCTTTGAATTTAAATGGGATACTAGGATTCATGCAGCCGACCCAAAAAAATTTGTTGTTAACTTGTTATATGGGAAAATTTTATAGAATAGTTCTCCAAATCTTTCTCTATATGTAGATATGTGTGTATGTGTGTGTTTGTGTGTCAGTGTGAGGGAGGGAGGGAGGAAGTAGGGAGGCAGTGGGGTGGGGAGGGAAGGAGGCTCCACATGATCCTCATGGATGAGAATTTTATGCTCGGTCATCCCACATGATCTGAACCTACTGTTTGACACAATAATTTCAATCTAAAAATGAGAAATCAAAAGGTTTCAAACTTTTGTTCATAATTCAAATTATATCTTCCTTATTTTCAGCAACAAAGTGAAAATCCAAAGTGCTCTATCTCCTCCTTAAATTAACTCAGTAACTTGTATGTGAAGACTAAAAGGAATGATGTAGATCATCCATGGAAATATTTGAGATTAAAACTAATTGTGTGCTTCATCCATACAATTGCACATGATGGAATTCAGTTAAAAAATTTCTCCCTCGGAGCAGACTTATTTTTCCTACGTGTTTTGTGTGTTTGTGCGCCTATATACATATTTGTATATGTGTTTGCAAGGAGCCCCACCCCCAACACATGAGACGTACACCAACACCCCTCGCACGTGTGTATGCACATAGACACAACTATGTATATGGATTATGGACACACAAAGGACACAACTATGTATATGGATTATGGACACACATAGGACACAACTATGTATATGGATTATGGACACATATAGGACTAATAGGTCCACTCCAAAAGAGAATATATTTCCTTCTACGCCGGAGAAAGGCCATACATAATACACACACATATAGGGGATATTATATATGAGATGTCACACATTAAATGCATAAGTTACCCCCACAGCAGTCTACAAGAATGTTTGACAACAGCCAGGTTGAACTATAACTGGTTAAAAAAACCACAAAATCATTAGCCAAGAGTTCAGGGGAATCCACATTCTCAGAGGTGACACTCTTAACCTCATGTTTTCATATACTAGGGAAAAAAAGTGGCACCTAAGTCAATAAGGACAAGATACAGTAGGGGCGAGTTTGATCAGGGAAAGGTCTATTATCAGATTGAACTAACAGCCTATAGAAAAGACTACATCACAACATAGAAAGCCACTATTATGGTCCATACACTTTTGTAATGACCATTCAATCAGGATTACATATAATATCCACATCTCAATCCTAAACTTGTTCTCGAGCATGTGCATAGGTACAATGAATGTGCCATTTATCTCAGCAGTAACCCCATCCCACCTTCAATAATTAACATTTTGGATTAACTGTAACATACTACAATCAGAGTGAAATTAGAATCATATAATATGACAAATTTGACGACACGAGACCTCTGGACTTCTGGAATTACAAAAGCTAGTTGTCCACTTCAACTCCCGTAAGAGAAGAGGATATATGTATAAACATAAGATGACTGATGGGGGAAAAGAAACAAAAAGGAGAAAGAAAGAAAGAAGGGACTGTACAGTCAGATTATTTTAGAATTGTCGAACATCCAGTAATTGGTGAAGCAAGGCTGAAGCGAAGAATATCATACTACTTTGGCAGAAAATCAGGGAAATTAAGTTAAGGCCTAAAAATTAAATAGATAAAAGCTTACTCAACATAACACATATAGCAAGACACCTGTTCAACCACTTTCCAGCCCACTTCTGATCAATCAAAATTTCCCTTTCATTTTTTGAATAGGTGAGTTTTTCAGTATCATCAAACAAATAATAAGTGTACTAATGCTAATAAGCCTGATCTTAAAAAATTTATAAAATCTTTCATAAATGCTTCTAATTAGCATATAGGTGCTGAATGATTTGCACTGGAAACCATAGAAAAAAATGGTACATCCAAATATGAAGTATGTGTAAACAATACGAGGGGGACTTGTAGCTGTTACTTCCATAAGGCAACACTATACTAATGTCATTCATCTACAATATTTGTTATCCGCTATCAACACAAATTTTGATCAACGTACCCTAATTGATGTACCACTAAAGTGGCCAAGATCTGCAAACATAGCTTCTGAACCTGCAATCATGAGTGTTAGATGTAAGCTGTAATTATAGATTAAACTAGAAAGTTAGCATCTTTAAGTTCTGAAAAATCTATTCAAAATTTTACCTGTAATGCATAACAGTATCCCCCCTAGTGAAAGCCAACCGTCTTTGCCTGTCACTTTGAAAAATTTAATGATATAGTGTGGTGAAAGGGCACGGTAGATTCTGGGATTCCAGCGAATTATGTTGTATAGCCCAATTGATCCAATGCACACCAGCCAAATGATAACAACTGGTGCAAACATGAATGCTACTCTCTGAGTACCCCGGTGCTGCAATGCGAAGAGGCCAACCAGCACAACACAAGAGATTATTACAACCTCACCTGCACGCCAGAGATAATTAATGATAATAAGGCAACCATGACATGCCATAGTTCAATATTTTAAAGATGAGGTAGACACGCTAAAGCAATCAAAGAAATTGAAAAATCAACGTATCTGAGAAAGCACAAAAACTAGACCACTTATCTTTTCTACGCTAGTTTGTAAGATATTCTAGTCGATAGGTTTTGTTCCCCTATAAATCTTCTCAAAAAGGTCTCTACGGAACCAAGGCAATGGCTTGAAAACTTTTTGCATGGACATGGATACGGGTATCAGTACAGGTGCGGGTATGGGGATACTACTATATACATATATAGAAATTAATTTACATAAGATCAATAACATTTATTCATCCACATGCTATGAGAATTAAAATTCTTATATCATTTTTATGTTTTTTCTCATGTAGATTATAAACCATATACCGCTTGTTTTTAACTAGACACTCAAACGACCTTTTAAAATTATCCATGTTGAACGAATTTTAAGAAGTGAATGTAAGGTGTAGGATAAACTTCCAAACAGCATATGACTATCATGTATTATATAACTGAGTATACATCTCAAATAAGCGTATATGTATATTCAAGGAGTGTCAGTATCCGATATGGGTACTATACATGATAGAAGTGTCCAAGGAGTGTTGGTGTCCAGTACGTGTTGAGTACGGGTATGGCGTCTGAATAGAAGTATCCAGGAAACATAGCTTGAAAGATAGTTATGAAGTAAATAGAGAAGCTGATGCATCAGATTTCTATATCCCTATTTTCCTCTCTATTTCTTCTTGGCCATTTCCTTCTATGTTATCTTCTAAATATCTTCTTTCCTTATTTTTCCTTTGCAGATGTTATTTATAGTATATATCTGCCAATTAGGCCAAATCACAATGTCGTATTCCTCCTTTTTTAACTCTCTGATAGGGGAGAAGTCTTGGAGGGCTCTTCAGGCTGGCACAAGTTTAAAAACGTTAAATGCACTAATAAGGTGGTTGTTCTACTCCCATCAGGATATTATATTTTAACACCAACTCATTTATTAGCACTTTCCATTCTTGGTTCACCACCCCTTTAACATCAGGTCATTCTCAAATGCCAACCGCAAAGTGATAAGAGAGCTACTGAAAGTACAGATAACAGGGATATATGCAATTTACACGGATATTAATAAATACACGAAACAATATCTTCAGTATGTTCATTAAGGGTAAGGCCGCATCCTCTATTAAGCTTTACCTCCCAAGGCAATGCAATGGTCCAATATTTTTTTAGCCCAACACTGCTGAAAAATGGATGCTCTTTCTGCAATGCAGCAGTCTAGAGGACAAAACTGTTTATTAATAGTTTAAAACCACATCCCGCCTTCTACCCCCACACCAATGAATTAATCTGCAACACACAAATTGTAGCAGAACAAAAAAGAACACTCGAAGTTGATGGTTCCTTAACCATTTATTTAAGTAGGCAGACATGACAATTTACAATGGCAAGTTAAATAGGCTACTAGTAAAAACAAGATATTGGCGGATCACATACGTTACAAGAGCAAAAAATGTTCAATGCGGCCTCTGCCCGTCTTTATGCAAATGCAATCAATTTCCTCCACAATTTTTTAATTCCAAAATATAGGTCGGCCTATTGAGATATTGAAGGTAAATTTTACTTAGCCTCCTAGTTTAGATTTAAATTATTTGACATGAATAAAATGTTTTCAGACCTTTAGTTATTGTCATGTTACAGAAATATTTAATGATATATTTACCAAATGAAATTCATTAAGATATAATATATTTACCAAATCATATTCATTAAGATATAAACGAAGTTCCAGGAAAGTCGGATAGATAAGCAAGAGTAAAAACTGCATTCTTACCGTTCTGTAACCTATTAGTACGAACTTGCAACCCAGAAATCGATGACAAAACTGCAAGGAACCAAAGCTGAGTTTTAGCGGATGAGCAGCAAATGAGTAGCCATGAGAATAATTGTGAGAGAAGAAATGAAAGAAGGCTGAATCAGCTACATGAGGCCCTAAGTCAAAACAAAAGGGCTAACTTTACCAGAGATAGCTGGCGTCAAAACACCATCACCAATCACCATGCAAGCACCGAATAGAACTACAACTAGCAAAGCAGTTCTCAGCTTTTTGTGCTTCTCTAGAAACCTTTTCAATGGAGAGGGAAATGTGTTGCGATTTGTGTTCCCATTCCTGTAATATGTTGAGAGCTCTTCATCAGCTGCTTGTTGGTTGGGAAGCAAACTGAACTTTGCATGTCTGCAAAGGAGAGAGTACAAAGCAAACGGTCCCCCTACAAAACATCGCTTGAATATATAACCAAGTACTATAGAACCATGTTTCAAAGCCAAAAACACCCCAAACTCACCTTCACCATTGTCATCAGCACTCAGCACAATGAACACATATTTGAGCAGCGGGATCAGAGTGAGTGTCCAAAAGATCAAGGATACAGCACCAAATATTGTCTGCTCATCTTGATAATCACGCAGCCTACCTGAAAATGTACTCTTATAAACGTAAAGAGGAGAAGTACTCAGATCACCATATACTACACCAAAGCTCTGATATGCCAAAAGAAATAGATGTTTGTAGTGTTCCTTCGAGCGGATCTGCAAGAGCAACATTAAAAAGCCACATAACTTATAGAACAGACAACAAAATAACGCATATCCATATACATGATATTTGAATATGTTAACAGAAACATAAGTACCTAGTTTTCAGTTCTTGAGAAATGGACCATTTTCAGAATTTTTAATAATGGGATGGTTGACATTTAGTACAGCTTTTAGTTCAACGAGAGTAAATGAAGTCGATATTCAGGGATAAGCTAATATCTCTTACTAGTACAAAGATTATATTAAAGCACATAAACCATAGTTCTACCTTACACCTTCAAAATCTCGACTACCTCCTTTTCTTCAACATACTATATGATAACCTCAGCAGCATAATAACAGTAATTCATAATCCTAATGTTAATATTAACTGAACCTACATGACCTCAGTTGCACTAGTTATCATTATTCGCATGATTCAACTACACATAACATGTTCAGTTTTAGCCTTACAAGGGATATAATCACGTAAATGGTCAAGTTACAACCTTTTTTCTTTTAACATAACTTATCACTCCCAAAGCTGACAACCCAAGATAGAACTGAATTCAGATAATATGAGACTAGCGACATCACACGTTAAATTTACAATAAAACATAATAAAGCTTTCAACTTTCCACGATTATGAAATAATCGAAGATTCAAGAATTACAACAATCCAATTTCTCTTCAACTCCAGTGGAGATCTTGCCCTAATTCACTGAAATCTTGCCCTAATTTCAAAACCTAAATCCCTTACCCGCGGGTTGTCATCGGTGGTCCCCCTCTCTTGATCCATGACCGATTGAGCTCAGCCTCAGATGACCTCAATCTTCTCCTTTCTCCTCTTCCTTTTTCTATTTTCAGCACCAATTGCTTGTCGATAAACCTCTGAGAAAATAAAATGGAGAAGTTTGAAGGCGATTGATTATGAGAACAAACGAAGAGGGGATTAAAGATCCGCGAACGAGGCGAGTAGGATTATTATTTTCTTGATTTTTCTTTGTCTAAATAAATCATAATTATGAGCTGGTGGGTTCGATCAAAGATTATTCGCGGTGTGTTTTAGCGTACTGTCACCGGTTAGATTTAGGATGATTAGCACTTAAACACCTTATAGTTTCTCATGTTTTCACTTGTATATGCTGCAATTTCTAAAATTTGCAATTTTAGACATTCTGTTATGCAAATGTGAGAATTTTCCACCGATGTTTTCCGCATGTCGCACTCACGAGCTAATTTTAGAACTTTTCAGTCCCCTAATTTTTGTTGAATTTATTGTTACACCCTGATTGTATTTTAAACCTAAAAGTCTTATGGTGGGTTTGATAAGGGTTTGATGAACATTCTAAAAGTTTTAAAATTAGCTTGAGAATGTCTTATGGGAAAATTCGGTGGGAAATTCTCATGTTTGTATAATAGAATGTATAAGCGCAAATTTAAAAACCTTGAAGTATTTGATTGCTGCCAAAAACATGTGAGGGTATGTAATTGCAAAGTGGGAGAAAATATAATGTATTTAAGTGCTGAAGAGCCTAAATAAATATAAGTTGTAATAGTTCTAAGTTGTGATTTTAGCATGACTGCCTTCTATTTTTCTCTCTGTTAAATTTTTTTTTTTTGACAGAAAAAACAAGGGATATACCATGTTCATTAAAATCAAAAGTAGTTTACAAAAGAAGGATACGAATTGTATCCATTAATTGGTAGATAGAAAACTTAATTTCTCTTGACTATTGATGTATAACATTCTTCTCCCAAACATCCATGAAGATGAAGAGAGGGCCTTGCCGTCATTCATCGTTGACATGGATATAAAGGAGAACCAAAGCCGGTCATACATTTGGAGAAAAGAAATTAAATTTTCTATAGACCAATTGTAAAACAAAAGTATAACATCAATATTTAATATGTACAAACAAAACCTGATACCAAAAAACCCCAACTTTCTTAGTCACTGCTGCGAACAATAGGCTTCTCTTTTAAAACTTTTGTTAACTGAAGAGCTGCATTCCTTTTACCAGAACCTGCCCAATCATGAAGAGCCAGTATCGAAGTGTTAATAATTGACTGAGCAGAGAAAGGTTTTTGATCAAAGATAAACTTATTCCTTGAAGACCATATAAACCAGCAAACAGTCGAAATAAGAGTGCGCCACAATAATTTGATGTTACCATCCCAAAACCATTGAAATCCCTCAAATCATAGCAGTAATTGTGTTTGGTCCTTCTCTTATCCTTTCATTAAATTTGTAAATCATGGTTGGGCTAGTACTAACTTACTACGACGGTAAACTACTAAGGGGAATATATAATTGGAGCATATGGTTTATACATAACTAAGGGGAATAATTGCAGATGCAGCTTTGATGCAAATGTTAGATTTTAGAAATTATTCATTTAGTCTAACCTGAGTTAACTAGAGAGACCAAATTGCAGGTAATCTCTGGGCTATAATGGACACATGAGGACCAATATCAAATTATAGAAGAATTTGAGACCGATACGTAAAAAAAACCCATCATATTATGCTTATTCATGTTGGAGTGGTGTTAGGGGCACACCCCCTACCACACCACAAACCACACTCCCCCTCTCCCATCGCTACAGTAAACCGGGCCCCACATGGGATTTTAAAATTTTTAAAATCTCATGTGGGGCCCGGTTTACTGTAGCGATGGGAGAGGGGGGTGTGGTTGGTGGTGTGTTAGGGGGTGTGCCCCTAACATTATTTTTCATGTTGAGAGTTCATATTTATATTTTCTACTTCATATTGATCAAAACGACCATGCTAATCTTTTCTTCTCAAATATCTACCTAAAGTCTAAAGATACTTATGAAATTGATAAAAAAAATTAAAATTTTAAAAAATAACCTAATCTCCGTTGACAAGATGGTGATTAGATCCCAAAGAATGATTGCAAGTTAAATATAGAGGAGTTAGCTCTTTTATTGAGCATTGTTTTTTTATTTTTTGGTCAAAAAAATAAAGAAAGAGACCCACAGAAAAAAAAAAAAAGCAGCGTTCGTGGGTTCATGGTTCATTGAAGGAATATCCGCGTCCAAAACGTGTTTTTGTTTCTATCGCAGAACATTTTCCATCATCTTACCTGTGGGACCGGCTCAAGTGTGCTCAGTGACGACCTATCAGCGGGCCCCATCTTATATCTCATGGGAAGATTTGGGCGTTTCGCTTGGACGCGACGTCTCCGATGTGGGACAAAAAAGCGTTGAAGGGTAATCTGAGAAGAACATCGAGCTCTTCTTCACGGTGAGAATCGTGTTACGCGCGCAAGTTGAAGAAATCAGCTTGAGTGCGTCACGATCTCACGCCACGTACATTTCATTAGTGTAAGTTTAACTTGTGCGCTTATTAATCAATGATATACGCACAAAAAATATTGCTCTCCAGAGTACAGGTTTTACAATACAAGATAATTAACCGACAATATATTACGTCATATGTAAGCTTAACTTATTCATATATATATATGATAATAATTACTAAAAAATATTAACCACCACTATTATTTGAGCAGGTTATATAAGTTTAGACTGCGAATGCAGAGGGTAGGTAATTAAAGAGTACCCCTCGTCTTAATTAGCAGAAGATGAAGGAAAGGTTAATTAGGTCGGTCACCGCTGAAAACGCACTTAACGAATTAAAAACAAAAAAACATGCATCATGGAAGTCGCTCTCTGCTCGCATATTTATGTAGGATTCGTCAGGGCTTTATACAAACGATCAGCAGCACCTACAGTTGCGCATTTATGCTCGTGACCGATAAGAATATAGTTTTTGGGAGGAAAAAGGATCAGATATAAGAGTGTGAGTGGGGCAATTCTAGTATCATAAGCAACTTGAAACTAATTAAAAGGACGGAACTGCAATATTTAACATTGACTTGCAAGCAAGCTAGAAATGGTTTGTAGATGAGATTAAAAAAAATATTAAATCCACAATAACTTTCCTTAGAACCTCTCATGGAAATTGATATTAAAAAGAAATATGTCTAGCCATATAAAATTTTTCAAACGATTTGGTCTTGAAAATAGGAAAAATTAATCTCAATAACAAATTTAATTTTGAATCTTTCATGCGTTTCTTGTCACTGCCGGTAGTGTGATATAGAAGGTGTTATGCCCTTAAAATTACTAAATATTAACCTCCACATAGAAGTCGACATGTGTCTTACACTATACCTAACCCGACTAATTCAAGACCAAGATAACTTTCGCTTCAGCACGACCGACTCGGTTGGTCGACATCTCGCGTAACCGAATCAAAAGACGGTACTACTTGGCCAACCCCTTAATTGGTTTCACAAGCGACTCGACTCGGCCCACTATTCGGCCGACATCTAACGCAACCAAGTCAATGGCGGTGTTTCTCAACCCTACACCTGAGGAGTCAACAAGATGACAGTTTCCTCAAACCCCTCGCCATCCGACTACTCTCGCATTAATTGTCCTGACAACATCATTATTGCTCTAGCCTCATAGCCTTTATGACTCATCAAACCTAGTCAACATCAAACATCTGCTATCATTCCCATGATAAATGACCGGGTGACTCACCTCCTTTAGCAACTGGCACGTAGCACATGTCTGTCGACTCAGCTGCCTAGCTGAACTGGGCCCAAGTTACCTTCTTGCCCCTTAGACCCACTACAAAAGGAGCAACACTACATGAGGTAACTCTTTCTTAGTTTTTCTAGGACATATAACTAAAAAATAATTCTATATTTTCACACTCAAGATCATCTACTGACTTGATCGTCGAGAAACAACCGGAGAACCCAACTCCGCCCTTTTACGAGTTCTTTCATGTGCAGTGAAGAATAGCAAGCCCCAAAAACATTCATCAAAAGGAGTTAGAGGACCCTAATCACTCCCCAAACTGTAAGATAACCCCATGTTTGATAACTGATATCAACAGTAGGGGCTTAAAAAGGGTGGAAAGGGACCATGCCCTCTTAGTAAGGGTAAAAACGGTCTGAATGTGGCACACATATAATACTTATCATATTCACATATGTTTTGACAATAACGAATACGTATATGGGTATGCCTCTATAAGGAAAGCTTATAGCCAAATCCCTCAAAATTGGATATGGATACTGATATACATGCAAATATACATGTAGATACAAAACGAATATGAGATAATGAACTAATATCTGAAAAATATAGTGCATCCATACAAAAAAATCATTAATATGTTTGTTATATTTGAAAAGCTAAGATTGAATTTTTCAGCAATCAAAATTAGTCCCAAATGCATTAATATATGGATTGAAACAATTACAGATATATGATTAACATATATTCAGATATTTAGGATATAGATTCGAATATTCACTACATAACCAAATCCATAACCATAACCTATTTGTTATAGATTCGAGTAATTGTCTTTATATCTTGATGGATACAGTTACAAATATATCTATGGATATGGTTATATTTTTGCTCCCCGACTTCCTAGCCCACAGACAAGTTTCATAGATCCAAGTGTAAGCTCAATGTCAACAACAAAAAACAGAAAATGAAAACTTTATGGAAATAACATTTCCTTATTTTTCTTTAGATTTCCTTAAAAAGTTGTTTTTAATTTATTTCGCATAGAAAACAAGGGTGTAAAGATATATCCCCATAAAATTCCTCAATTTTCTGTGATTGGTTGGGCACAAAAAACTTAGAAAAAAAAAGTTACAAAAGCATATTTCCATAATTACCTTTATTTGGTTGGAGATGAAACATCATGGAAATGTAGATTGTACTAACAATGTTAAGTTTACCTCTCACATAAGACAACACCAATATCAACAAAACCATCAATAGTGTATCACAACGACTAGATTAGCCACAAAAGGAAAAAAAAACAATATCCCAAAATCTGTCATGGGAGAGCGCCAAAATAGCAAACAGATCCAAAGGTCAAAAAACAACTCAATGTTATTGCATCTTAATGCCCATATTAGCCAGCAAAAAATCTAACAAACCAAATTCTATCATGGCAGAGCCTAGCAACAGCAACCAAACCCAATGGTCAAAAAATAACCGCACAATATTAAACCACAATGAGTATATTAGCTAACAAAAAGGCATCAGCCCCCATATTCTTTCGTGGGAGAACTCAGCAGCACCAAGCAAACCCAAAGTTCAAAAAATATCCCAACAATAGTGCATCATAACAGGTATATTAGCCAACCAAAAACCCAACAGCCCCAATGACTATATTAGCCAGCAAAAAATTTATCCTAATAGCAATATATATCAGCAAATAATGGTTAATATAGAGCTCAAATAATAGTGTTCTCTCCCACAACCACCAAATAGATAATAAGAAAGTAAAATTACATTTTTTGCTCTTATCAACAACCATAGCAAGATGAATAGAGCTAAAGGGTCCCAAGCAAATCAAGTTTAATTCTACTATCAAATCCCAACACCTCTTATGCTACGCAAAAATGGTACGAATATGGGTGAATATTTTTGGGATTGTGCAAAATACCAACATAGGCAATGTAACTTTTTTACTTGGGTTTAAGATGATAGTGAAATGAAGAAAGTCATGCCAAAATTTTGAGACTATGAATGCAGAAGAGATGAAAGCATAAAAAATCAAATTGTAAGAAGAAATAAAAATGAAGCGAGTGATGCCAAAGTTTGAAAATGTGAATGTAGAAGAGAAGAAAGCATTAAAAATCCAAAAAAATTGAATCAAGAGTTGAAGCAAGCAAACCGTGAAATTGGTCTTTGAAAAATTTGTGCAATTTTTTTGGGGTATGCTTCTCATGTTATAAAACATTGTAATTTGTACCATGTTAATACATTGAAGAATATATTTTGGGAAAACTCTAGCTATGGTAAAAGAAAAAGAAAAATATTTCATTTGTTCATCGTAAAAATCTGTATCGCCATGTAAGAAATATTTTTAATAAGATTGTATATCATTGTATGTGCTCAGAATTGGTCAATATCGATCATCATGATATACATCGCCAAAGATAGCTGTTGATAACACTGCATCATTATTACCTCGCATATACAATGAATCAACAACTTATGACCACATGTATCAGAGTATGACAATAATCACAGCTATACAGTGGCGGATCCACAACCTCTCGTGTGGTGGTTCGAAATTAACGCTAATTTTTTTTTCAAATACTACTAAGGAAAGCATAAAAATAATAAACAAATAATAATAAAGAGAAAATAGGAGAAAGTAGAAAAGTAAAGAGAAAATAAGGATTATAGGAGAAATTAGAAACATAAAGAGGCTGTAGGAAGTTTTTTGAACCTTTGACCTCTTTGAAGGTAAGCTAATGCTTATACCACTAGGCTACAAATTACATTTGTTCACAAACTAACATATATGATATATATACTATTTCAAAATCTGAGGTGGTTCAAATGAACCACTTTGAACAAGAACAGGTCCGCCACTGCAGCTATACAATCTTTCAAATAAAATAAAACTTAAAGATGTCAAACAACATGAAAGACATCTGCCACTCTCTGTTTAATCTAAATAATTGATTTACTGTAAATATGATGAAATATATGACAAATATGACACGAATCTATCTACCCTTTAAAAGAGGGAGTCCATGAAAAACTTTACTCTCCCCAAAATATCCTTACCCCCAATTTAATTACCAAACATATCCCAAAATAGCCTCCCCAAAATACCCTTTCATCAATATATATTCCTCCTTTCAATTCATCAGCCCTTTCAAGTCATCAGTCCTTTTAATTCCTCCTCCTCCAAATTACCAAACTTTACTCCTTTCAATTCCTCCTCCTCCTCCTCCTCTGATCTTCCATTACCTCCAACAACTTTTAGAGATGAATTCAATTAACCAGTTCATCCGTTACCCTTCATCTGATCTTCCATTACCTCCAACAACTTTTAGAGATGAATTCAATTAACCAGTTCATCCGTTACCCTTCATCTCGGTTTCCCTCTTTTCGGTTCTTACGTTACGCAGTCGAACAATCTTAAGCCATCAATTTCAAAAGATGAGTGTTATTTCCCTAATCATCAACCCGTCTCCAACACGTCAGAATTTTTGCATTGGGTAGAACCAGCAAGGAATTTCATTGAAAAAGGTATTCCTAAATTTTTCCTACGCTTTCTGCTCAATTCATCATCTCTCCTTTTTGTTCTTCATTTCTCTCATTGGTTCTAATTTTTAAAAAAAATCATTTAATTGTGTTCTAATTAGCCATCATTTCATTTTGTTCTAATTCAACAATAGGTCAAGGATTGTCCGAATTAGGGCTTGCTTTAATTCTTCATCTTGCTCCTGTGTCAGTTTCAACAGGTAAAAATTCAATTTTTATTTTTTTTAATTTATGGTTTATGTCCTTTTAGTTAAATTTTGTGAATTAGTTTTTTTTATTTTAAGCTTAATTGAGGAAATTAGGGGTGGACGACTTTGTTAGATAGTATTTTCAGACACAAAAGGGGAAACTTGACTGAGTTTGTTAGATAGTATTTGCAGACACAAAAGGGGAAACTTGACTGGGTTTGTTATATTCCAATTATTTGCTTGCTTATATTGTTAGACATATGTAGACAATTAATTTACGTAGAATTAGGAAGAAAGCATCATGTTTGTTGTATAAAATTTGTGAAAATGAAGTGGTTGTTCAAAGACAACAGCAGGAGCAAATAATATACCAAATCTGTAGAGGAGTATGGTACACAATGCATAGGAGAACAGAGTAAAGATTCTACTCGATCAGATCCACACAACTGAATTGAAAAATTATGTTGATTAAATAATAATGACATAAAAAATTAGAAAATCATTTTCTGTTTTCATGAACTGATAACAGAGGTGAATAATAAGCAAGACCTGTAGCAGACACATGACATGCAACTATAGTTCAAGTATTTATAGCTATGATGCCTCAAAATAATGATTAAATCATTAAAAAGCTATCATAGATCTTGACTGAATAAGTACATAAGTAAATCATGCCAGAACAAAGAAATAAAGAGGTAAATGTAACCTTTCAAGATACAGTCTACGCAAAATGAAGACCTAAATGATATATTACACGAGTTTCCACAACACTATATGTTATTTATATAGAGAACTATATATACAGACAGATACTTACACAGACATTTTTATATATAGTAGCCTTATACATATTTACTGACCGCTGCAAGAAAAAAGATGAATGTTTAGCTTTTCAACAGTAGCTTAATATGTACATGTTCTGGATTGAAGCCACTTCAATGTAGCAGTTTTATGTGCAACAGAGATGAACACTTCAGGTCCTATGAACAGAGGAGCTGATACATTGTCATGCCCAGTTCCTTCTCTTGGCCCGGAGTTGCATAAGCTTGTCTTTCCATTGTGCTAAACAAATACAAACGCCAAGAAAGTTAAGAGCCTTCTATTAGGTATAAGTAAAGCACACAAATATGAAAGATCTTTAGAGATCCATGATCCCTGATAGAAGCTCACGCAGAAAGGCCCATATAGTTGTGTGCCTTATACCATTACAGCATTAATTCTGCAGATAGGTAAATAGTAAAAAAAGTTATAGAATTTAATTCAGATCTCCTGTGTTCAGGGAGATAGGAGATGATTCTTAATAAGTTGCTCACTGAAGATGGAGGTCATCAGACCTGTATCACATCCAGTTCATATATAGGCATTTCATCAGAACATCCAAGACACAAAATGCATGCCCTGGAACTCCCTAAATTACAGAGAGGTAGCTGCAATTTCCACCAAAATTCCTACGAAACTGGCTGCTGTTACCTCCAAACTTTTACGGATTTTTTTTAAGTTAAAACCCTACAATGCATTAACATTCACATGCTGAATAATCAAGAAGCAACACGTAGAAACGAATATTGGCAAAGTGAGATGAATTAATGCGAACGAACTAAAACATAGTTTAAGCAATAAACTATATAGTGGGAACTAGAAGTAACTAATACATAGTTTAAGGAATAAAGCATATAGTGGGAAACAAGTAGCTTCAACTAAGAATAAGGTGAGCAAGAACCATTAGGGATTGTTCGCACATTGACAAGGGGCACCAAGGACCAGGTCAAGATAAACTAGAGTAATAGTGGAAAGTGGAGCTGGCACACATTGACAAGGGGCACCAAGGACCAGGTCAAGATAAACTAGAGTAATAGTGGAAAGTGGAGCTGGCACCAGTGCACTACAAATCATACAAATAAAGGACCTGAAAAACTGGATTAGATGTTGATGATACCTAACATGAAGGTTCAAGAAAAGTTTATGTATTAGGATTGATCACTTCCACCTCTACACTCTGTTTTTTTATAAACAAAATCATAAAATGTAGAAAATTCAGAAATACTAACAAAAACAAGAAAAGATACGAAAAGGACATTCTAACGCAAACTGTGAAGGGATATCATTGTTTAACAAGGGAAACTTGACGTACAAAGTTGCATAAGGCATCCAAGGACATTTTGCTTATTTTAACCAACACGATGCTTTATCACGGAAACAAAAAACTGAAGCTCTATTCTTTGCTCACATGACATGGGTACTTCAATGATACAATACCTGTTTCACTTGAATGCAGTCATCAAAACAGTCGAATTGATTTCTATCGTTCTGAAAGAACTCAAAATTTGATAGAAGATATATTACGGTCGCAGCTCACTCTCACTCACGCAATGTTTTCGAGTTTGATTTCTGGATTTATTTTTGCAGGTTTATTCGAAATATTAGCTTATGGGGGTGAAAAGAGTATTTATAATATATATTATTAATTTTATAAGATACATGCAGAATGCAGATAAATGTTGATCTACCTAATATCAGGTTCAAACTTGAGAAACTAAAACAATCATCTGTAATCAAGAACCATAACCAAATCTAATGTCTAACATATATTAAAGAGATACGTTATTTCAATATTAGTCCCTCACATCTTCAATATATTTCATTATATAAGAATTTAATTTACTAATGATAATACTTGAAAATTGCTTCAGAAAAAGGACTACTTCAAATTTAAAATAATCTACTTTCAAAACTTGTAGCATATGCATACGTGAATAAATGATTGAAGTCACTTAACATATCATCAGATGATGAAAGCATAGGACTGAGAGTTGTCTTGCAAAATTTGCATTTAAATACTTACCATGAGATTCGGAGCCTGGTACTAAACCAAAGACACCATCATATGACTGCAAGCAGTAAACAACAAATAGAAATTGCATCTTACTAATAAAAAACACAACAATCTATTTGTTACAAACAATTCTATAGATACTACGGACCTGGCATTGGACTATATAATCTTTGGCCTTTCCTTTGTCCATCCCAATCCAACACTAAAGTAATTATACCTTGAAGATGTTGGTATAAAACCTGTTATTGTTATCTTAGTTTTTTTGTTCTTCAATCCTCTCCTTTTGTTCTAATTTTGCCCTATTTCTCGATTTCCTGCAGTTTCAAATGACGAGGGTTTCAATATTCAAACAGCTTCTGTAGCAAGTTTAGAAAGTAAGTTGAATCCATACAACTTATTATATCAAGATGTATTATACATTTCTATCATCAATCTTACACAGCTTATTTTGAGAGACCTTTGGCAAAAGCTTGGACATTCACAAACAGTCTCACATTCACATTATGAATTATTTAAAAAAACAGGTATGCTTGTGTAAAAGCCCTTTTTAAGTCATTTACTTGATTTATGTGCCTTCTTTGTATTCTTAATGCCTGTCGTCTTCAGCAACTCAAACTGGCAGTTTGAAATCGAAGAGCTCAAGACTCTACCCAACACTCCCAAATTACTGAGAAATATCTAACTCGCAGCAATCTTATTAACATTTCATCAACATACACAAAACTTACTCCTATTCTTTAACAGTTTAAAAACATAGAATATAAACTAATTATACAAATTTAATTTCAAAAAAGTTAGTGTTTCTAAAATAATGAATAAACCTTAAACTTTTGCAATTTAACGATAAATCTGACAAACAGATTTTCTTCAGCAACTTGGAGACAACCAATAGAATAAAATCCATATGACATTGCTTAAATTATACAGAACTAAACATTTTGCACTTACAATTGGTTTGGATACAAATGAGGGGAGGGAAGGGGAGTGATTGACTTAAACCCAAGGGGAGCGAGTGGTTGGTTGCTTGTATGATATCTAGAAGCAGCAGGTGAGTTTTTTCCCCTTTCTTTTTGAATTTGTTTGAAAGGGGGGGTGGGGTGGGTAGGGGGAGGTGAATGGTAGGTTGGTGCCAAAGTTTTTTAATAGACAGTCGTCATTTATTTTATTAAAATTTGAATAAATTTTAATAAATCAAGAATTTTGTTTGTTTTAATAGATTCTTTAGTGACAATAATTTAAATAGATTAATGTTAAAGAATGGTATACCTGCAAATAAATATGAAGATTTTGTTTGGGGGTTGGGGTGGGGTGGTTCAAATGTTTACATACAAGGTAAGTTTGCATCTAAAGAATTTTGTCACTAAGTATCCAAGAATCTAAAGAATTTAGTTTGAGCCAATTATTTTACCATTATGTCAAGAAATTATGTGCATCTTCTTTAAATTATATTAAATTAATTTCCGTTCTTAAAGTTGTTTGTTTTAATGTCGTTCCTTAAGTTTTCTTGTTTGTTTATAATAATTTATATCGGATTTGATGTGAAAAATTCAGCATGCGCTTGAAATGGATGTGACTGCATCTTTACTTGGTTTGAGTTAGCTTTAGGAGACTTGGAGATTGTTATTTACGACTCATGTATTTTTTTTTCTTTTGTCACAACCCTCTTATTATACCAAAAACGCAACATCATTCATTTACATTTCGATACAGTTACCTTTGTTGGAAATGGAATGCTATATCCAGTTCACACCCTTTGTATTATTGACTGTGCCCATATAGACTACTTTCCACACTGTGACTGGCATTTATACTATCTTGTAAGAAGACATTGGCACTTAAGAAGAAATATGTAAAATGCAATTGTGCTAAATTGATGGGTTTGCTGTGTACTGTTTGTAAGAGATGAATAAGCAGAATATATCAAATTCATTATATGGCCTTCCAAAAAATATTACCTAATTATAACATGAGTCGAAAATAACAGTGAGACAAACTATGTTATTTAACATTAGCAACTATGTTAAATGCAGAGCATTAAAAACATAACAAATAACTACATAAACTAAAGTTTTCAAATAAGAGAAGCTTATAGAAAATCTGCGACTCAATCTACAATAAAATCTTTCATTTCTATAACTGAAAGCCTTTGTAGTCATGTAGCATTGTATTTTAGTATCTGGAATGTAGTCCTACAACATACATAATCATCTCTTGGATTGAACTGACTTATAACCAGAACACACTATTAATCAGAACATGGGTATCTTTTTCTTATTTTGTGCTCTAACAATGTGAAATTGGCTTAAGTATAAAAATACAGGACAATACAATTTCTCTTAAAATCCTACACATGCTTACATTGGATGTGACTGCATCTTACATAATCGGCTGGATAATGTAAATATATGCTTCGTAGGTTTAACTGGGTAAAGTCAGGTCCATTATATGATTCTTGCAGTTTGAGTTTTTTTTGGTGAGAAATGAGAATATATGTTCGCTTCGAATCTTGATAGAGTCCCATTAGACTCAAATACTACCAAATCTTCTTGATCTTCATTACTTGTTTTATACACAAATTATACCGTTCCTAAAGTTGTTTTATTTGTGGATGATTCAGCTAATTCCTGCCAGTAAAGGTAATTTTCACTTTCATTCCATTTCAGTTCCTCTTCATAATATGTGTTTGTTCTTGCTCTTTTTACATAGTTTAGTTTCATACGAACTTTCACATAGGCTCATCTTGGTATCTATGTGGTTGGATATATGCTAGGAAAGAATGATACTATGACAGATAAGTTAGTCCTAACCTGCTGAATAACTTTAGTGATGTAAGATGATTGATTCAGTGCAAAATATTGACCAATCCCACATAAAACATGGCACAATGGAATAAAATATGCCCTGGTAAACCAAAAGAAAGAACTTGAGAGTGGTAGTGCATACATTGCTGTATAGAATTGGATTTCAAGATGATCTGTGAGAGATCATTGACACCTTCCACCGGTGGACCAGCTGGACCTCCTGCTTCTGGGTTACTTAGAGCTGAGATGCTGCCCAGTGGGTATTTGATTCGACCTTGTGAGGATGGTGGTTCGATGATTCACATTGTTGATCATGTGGATTTGGATGTAAGTATACTGTGAAATAAACCCCTTTACTAATTGGCAAAATTTTAGTATTTAGATGACCAGTTTTTCTTATGCCGGTGTGCTCTAGCCTTGGAGTTTGCCCGAGGTGCTGAGGACCTTGTACGAATCACCGAAAATATTGGCACATAAAATGACCATAGCCATAAGTTTGCACTCCCAATTTGCAATATTTCGTACACTTCAAATTAAAACTTTGGGATTGAGTTTCTAAAATAAGTTTGCACTCCCAATTTGCAATATTTCGTACACTTCAAATTAAAACTTTGGGATTGAGTTTCTAAATCTGTTTCCTTTTTAGGCGTTGAATCATTTCGTACACTTCAAATTAAAACTTTGGGATTGAGTTTCTAAATCTGTTTCCTTTTTAGGCGTTGAATCATTGGCTAAATCCTTGTCACCATTGGTTAAATTGCACAAGAAAACCAGTGGTGAAATTGCTTATGGTGGTGTAAGAAAACCTGTTGTATTGATGACATTTAGCCATCGATTGAGCAAGTAAATCCTTGTCACCATTTTCGTGCATAATCATTATTAAATACTTTATGTTGTGCTATTAAATTCAGGATCACTGAATGAATTCTAGGGGTTTCAATGATGCTGTGAATGGGTTTACGGATGATGGTTGGTCATTATTGGGCAGTGATGGAGTTGAGGATGTGACAATTATGATAAACTGGTCACCAAATAAGCTTTTTGGATCTCATGCCAACTCTTCAATATTTTCTCCCATTGGTGGGGGCATCTTAAGTGCAAAGGCCTCTATGCTACTGCAGGTTTCACTCTTACCTTCCGGGTTTATAAGATACCTCTATCTGATATCAATTTAAAGTCAAACTTGAAATACTTTGGGCTGCGAATTTAACTCTGATATCTTTTATTGTAGAATGTGCCACCAGCTTTGCTTGTTCGGAAAGCCAACGGCTGTAGAGGGATCCTTTGTCATGGCTTGGTGAGATTGCTTGGTTTATTTCTCATGCAGATGGTAGAGCTATTAAAAAGATCTTGTGTGTTGCCTTTGCTGCTGCTTTGTATCATATTTGGAGAGAACGAAATGCTAGGAGATTTTAGTCTTGTATTAGCAGGGTTAATGTCATTGCGAAGAGGATTAAGGTTGATATTATAGCTAGAATGTTACATAGTAATCAGCCTTCACAAGTACAGTTTTGGATGGTCAACTTGTAGTTGTTTCTTGGTTTTGCGAGTTGAGTGGATTGTTTGATTCTTTCATAGAGTATGCTGTATAGCTGGGTATGCCCAGTTTTTGAATTTACATGAAAGTTCACGTGTTAACGAAAATTTCATTTACCTTTAAAAAAATTGAATCAATTATTTACAAAAGTAAATAGTCCCATAACTATTCTTTTATTATATTGTAGGTGGGTAAATAGCATTCTGAAGCTAAAATTATTTTTCGTACAGGATTGGGGATGTCGTCAGGATTATTGGGATCCTAAACTCGCGCATAAACCACAATTTCTATGCTAGAGAGCCTTCTTCTTAGCACAAAATTGATTAGAACACAAAATTGATTAGAACCACAATTTCCTTCATTTGTCGTAGATGATGTAACATGATTGATTCATTGCAAATTATTGTCCAATACAACATAAAACCTGGCACAATAGAAGAAAATATGTATGTAGATATTAGGGTGCATAACAAGTCAACAGAGCTTTAATCATGAATGATGTCGGACATCTAACTCTTTATTGAGCTTGCGTTTTGGGTATGAACCAATTTTCAGCATAACAATTTTCAAACAAATTAACATTACTATATATACATTCTAATGCTAAAGATCTGTTTTATTTATTTGCCTGAGCCTAATCACAAGATCTGCTACTTGCTCAATCTTAATCAATCCAGCAAAATATATAGGATTCACATTGACTTGTATTTGGGGAATGATTGCTGCTTGTTCATTACGCTTATCGACAAGGTCCTCGACAAATTTATGAAATCTCCTTCGAATGAGATATCAGTTGCTTCTAATGTAGTTGTGGAGATTAGTGAACCAAACACAAAACCTATTGGCACAAATTAACAAGATGAAGAGAGAGCAGCAAAGCCAAGCACAACAATACAGTGCACATTAAATGATCAATGGATAGCAAAGCAAATGGAAAAGATCTCTGGCAAATACATATGAAACACAAAGTGCAATCAGAAGCTTCAAGATGAAAAGAAAACCAAAGGTTTTTCAAATAAATTAGTGCAAAGACTTCGAAAGGATATAACATCATAAGCTTGGATTTACATACACATCATCAAAATTAACTTTTAGGTATATTCTTGTTATAGTATTTGATTGATCAATCACATTTTAGATACAACAACTCTACTATCGCATAACTGATCCCTACATATAAATTTATTGTTAAAACATTTAAAATTATTTCTAATAAACTTATACATATGTCAATTTACGCATTGGCCTTTATGTTTGTGCTGAATGGAATTTTGGGTAATGAGAAAATTTGCTACGGATTGATTTAATAATTTAAATATTAATGTTAAATTATGTTTATGGTTTCTTGTTATTGTATTTGATTGATCAATCAACTTGTAGATACAACCACTCCAATATCGCATAATTGATCCTTAAATATAAACGTATTATTCAAACATTTTAAAATTTTAGCTTATGTTCATATATATTGCGTACATTCATTAAATTTATACCAAATCTTTCCATAAATATAATTATAATTAATATTAATATTAAAAATTTTACCACGTGCATTACACGTGCAATCTAACTAGTTAATTCATAAAAGAAAGACCCAGAGTTCTCACAGTGTCATTAAATTCTAGTTAATTGTTACCTAACATTATTAAACTATACAAACTAAGCAACTGATTATCTTATTAGCCTGTGATCAAACAGTATGAAAGGGAAACAATGCTTGCATAAAAATGAGAGAATTATTTGTTGTGTTTAACTATGAACATGCTTTTCTAACGAGACATGAGGTGAACATATCTTACTTCAACAAACGAAAAATAAATTTAAAAATTTGCAAATATACGATAGTGCTAATCCAAATGAAAGAAATTCTATAACTCTCATGCTATTAACAAAAATGAATACCAATATTATTCTTGACTAGCAAAATCTCAGTCTGAAAAAGAATTTGGGATGTTTCACATTTACATATCTATTTGTTCTTTAAGGGGATGTTTGGTTGCACGATTTTATAGAAAAGTTTTCTCAAAATGTCTAACAATGACAATTCTGTAATTAAAAAATTTATGTAGGTTTCCGTAAACTGTGTTTGGTTCAAAAAACTACCAAAAAAATTTCTGTAAAGTACAAAAAAATACCAAAATTTACATAAAACAATTTCCTCTCAAAATAAGCGGAAATCATCTAAAAATCTGACACCACATTGACACTTTTCTATAGAGTTGATATTTTTCTATAAATTTAGGGGATGTTTAGTTTAATTTCTACAAATTATAGAAAATCTTGCTATTTTCTATAAAGTTATGGGCCATTTTCTTGTTTTGAACCAAACAAGTAAAGTAAAAACAAGAAAATTGGTACTTTTTGACTTCTTAAAACTTTTCGTATAATTTTTTATAGAAATACAAAGAAATCATATTTTGGGTGGAAAATATTTCCTATAATTTGTAGAAATTGAACCAAACACCACCTAAAGTAATAATGAAATTTATGGTCATAAACATATACCATTAAGCATAAGAACTAACCATAAAAGGTCATACTTTACATATAAATTTGTGTCTTGTACCTAACTTGTTCATATCCGATTCAACATTTCTTTCATCAACCAATCGTACAAAGGACTTTTCCTAGGGGCTTGTTTGGATTGAGGGGAATAAGGGAGAAGGGAAGTTAGGGGAACCATTCACTTTGTTTGGGAACATTTAGGAGGTTAAGTTATTCACTCTAGTTTCCTTTGGTTCACCCATTAATAGTATAAAAATTATTACCCCACAAATTGAGGTGTAACCAAGGGGAAGGGAACTCCATTCCCTTCCCTTCCTTTCTCTCACCTAGTTTCCCTTAACTTCCCTTAACCCCATTGAAATCCAAACACACCCTAGGTGAATAACAGCGTGCCAAGGGATAAAAAAATAGTATTAAAACTTACCAATTTTATCCATTAGCGGAACAAAGATACAAGCATGTAAGAGCTTTATTAAATCGGCCAAATTATTCAAGAGTCATAAGAAACGTAGACCTTTGAGGGCCCATATTTGTAACCTAATTTGCAACTCAGTAGGTCACCCGGTGGTAAATCCATTACTACCTTTTATTGACTAGAAAATCAATATATAGACATAGATTAAATAATCTTACAATGATGATCAGTTCATTATGCAATAAGAGGAGGACATCTCACATGTCCCCCTATCGGTCCCATATTTTGAGTTCATATAGCTAAGCTCATTAAATAATCTTATAAGATCCGTTGGTAGTTTGTCGTGTGTGTATGTAAGGAATTAAATTAGTACTCGCCAAATTGGTTTCTCACAATCAGTGACATGACCCCACATCATGAATATACAAGAGTGTGGATAAATCCTTGATTTTACCACTATATGAAATCAGAAAAATAACCAAGGGAAGAGAATTCCATCGAAGGAATGAAAGGTTAAAATAGGATGATTTACCTTCCACTTTTAAGTTTGAGCACCGTAGAGGATGGAATCGAGGGTGATCGAGCCTGTTTTGGCGAAAGGCCTAATTTCTTCTAGGCCCAATTTCTCAGCCTGTTTGGCCCCAAACTTAAGCCTTCAGCCCCCAACTCTTTAGCGCAATCCCTTAACCAAAGGTAACTTCAGTCAAAGCCCATAGCCCACTTAATAACAAAAGAGTTTAGGCTTGGGTTTGTATCCAACCCAACTGAATCCAATTATCCAACAAGGCCCTAACGCCGAAGCTAACCTTGGGTCTCTTTGTTCTATGCTATGTCTTTCGCGAGATTTTTAGTATTAAATGAGAATTTCTATTTCCAACTCAAATTTAACTATTCATCTAAGTTCTCCAAACCAAATCTAAGGATTTGTTTCACAAAATGTCAAAAACCAGGCCAAGATCACTCACGACCCAGTTTCATTCTAAACTAGTTTTAGTTTCATTCTAAACTGGGTCAACATTGGCCCCCTTTTCTACCAATCAGACAATTATCTTAAACTAGGTCAGGTTTAGTCATGGCCCGGTTTTGGAGGTTTGTCAAACACACCCTAAGGGTTAAATTACATTTGGTTTTTCCCCCTTAATTATAGAGGCAATTGGTGGTGTAATCTCTAAACCCTGAATATAAAACATTTCCCTTTTTCACTCTCTTGTTTTTTTTAATTATGATGCATTGCTTAATTATTATCATTTAGTTCTATTTGGGTGACAATGCTAGTATTTGCTCTATTTGGGTGACTGCCTCTGGAGGTTAATCTCACAATGAAATAAAATGAGAAGAATAAACCTTATTGCGGTACATAGAAAATATCAAAAAAAAATTAAAAGCAAAAAAAAATTGCAATCTTGTTAGCGGCAGCTCAATACAGTGCAAAAGCAATAATTGGAATAAACGAAGAGGGCTCTTCGAATCCAAGAAAAAGGTCCTTTAGGTGCACGAAGAAGATAACCTTCGAGTCTACAAATTTAAAAAAAAAACATATTGATAATAAGTATGCCTCTTATGTCACATAGTTATTATTTCTTAATTAGGAAACACAACCAACTTCTTCTTAAATGGAATTTAATTATGATGAGAACAAATTATTTATCCAAATCTTAGGGTTGAGTACATGAATATCAGTCTTTTATTCAATTATATTGTAGATCATTTCCTCCGGTTTTTAACTATTATCACATCGTTATTAGTTGTTTTAAACAGAGTTCTTTTAGGTCCGGCTTTAAATCTCTTTATCCCATTAATTATAATCGTATCGTTTTTCCTAACTAGTGTACTAAGACCTCTTTGTTTTTTTACATGATCAAACCATCTTAGCTGATTCTCTTATATTGTATCCTCAACAATAGTAACATCTGATATCTCCTTAATAGTAGCAACATCTAATATCCTATGATGGAACTCACATTTGTTTAAACTAGGAATTAATCGAAGTTATTAATTAAACAATTAAAGGGTTAATTTGAAAAGTACATTTTTTGTAATCGTCTAATACGGTTTGAAGGATTTGTGGGTAAAGCATAAAGTTTGGCTTGTTTTCGACATATCACAAAGTTTTGGTGTTATGCACTATTTCTAAAGTATTATAGGGGCGATCTCAAATTGGCACAAACTATTCGGGGTTTTGTGAAATTCACCATCTAAGAAATATAAGTGAATTTCAGTCATTAATAAAGTTACATATATTTATTATTAGGTTAACAGAAAAAGGTATAAATTAGGTATATTCATTATCAATGTTAAGTAGGGCAGAAAAGTTTAATTACAACTTGGTATCAACTTAAGGACCACTTGTGTAATAACATTATACCCCAGAATACTGGGTTGTAATTAATCTGGGCAGAAAAATCCAATGCTGTAGCCTTGAGAGTGAAAAAAGAATTATATGCACTCGAGAGGTAAATTTGACCCCGTTAAAGTATACCGTAAGACAGTGAGTAAAAAAATAAGGGAAAGTTACTTGAAGAGAGGGGAAAACAAAATGTTACATCTAGAAAATTGGGCAAATTTTGATTTCCTGGTAGTCAAGTTTTGTGACATTAGAGCTGTACTAGTGATCTTTAATCATGGTCTGTGATCTTTTACCATTACCCATTGTATTTCCATTACTAGCTGTGGCTATTAACTGTTCTCTGTGATGTGTAGCTATTGTTTAATATGCATGACATTCTTTTATTACAGATGTGATTATATCGTTTTAAATGTGCCTAATCTTTCAATAGTTGGATTCGTGCGGCTAGAATACTTCCCATCTACGACACGGTGGATCAATGATACTTGTCCAGAGATGTCGACGAAATGGAATAACTATATATGTCGTTAAGCGGAAAAAAGTTTGCAAGAAAAATATAAGAAGGTGGATATTATTGACGTCTTACAATTGGTAGCTGAATTTTTGATGTCTCACGAAATATGCATGAGATGTGTTATGCGTAACATGAAAATATGCATGTGTTGCTATTAACTATATGCATGTTTCCTAGTATATGTGGGACTGTATTGAGACTTCTAGCTATTATATGTGACTTATCTAAACATGACACATTGCTATTAACTATATCCAAATTTCCTAGCAGATATGGGATTGTTTTGAGACTTCTACCTATTAAATGCTAACTTTTGGTAGATATGGAACTATTTCGGGACTTATAGCTTGTATATGTTACTTTTGCCTATCATTTGCGACACTTAGTGGTTAAATGTTACAATTCAGATGTTTTTATGACAATTGTCAACTTTCACAGTTTTGGATTTTGTGTTAACTCTTGAAATTTACATGTGGTTTATCTAATTAAATTCACTAAGACATATAATTGCAAGGTAGCTGTAAGATAAATGTCCAAACTATGCAATAATCACAAATATAAAACACATGAGGGATTGTATAATACACAAATAAAAAAAAGCGTACCACATATATATCAAACCTGTGACACGTGACACATAAAAGTCACAAAGATGCAACAAATCTAACATTGCAAGTTGAAATATCACATGTATTTTATATATGTCACAATAACAAAATAAATATCAAATATAATCATCAAATGTCGTATGTTATCACAAATATCAAAGTTAAAGAATTAGTGTCACATATAAATAACAAATATCATATATAAAACACTTATGTAACAAGTAATTAAAAAAAAATCGAGAAATTTTGTCAGACCTAACATCAACATCTTGCACTAGAGGCCGAAGAGGAAAATGGAGAAATTAGGATTCTTACCACTTAGCTACATTTTGCTTAAACATGAAAGTGCATTCAAATTTTAAAATTTTACATAGATTTCTCGATTGGCATTATTTACTATCTTTTTTTAGGATGCTGATACTTTATCAAAAAATGAGTGATGGTTGAGGAATATTTTCACTGCCACATCACAATAAATTCTTTATAAGGAAAATCCTATACTTCGAACAAAATATGCCAGCGTTGTAGAAAAAAATAATATGCATTTAACAGTAACTCATTTTTTTATTATATTTGATAATCTATCATCATTCTAACAAAAAAAAAGGTATTTAAAATTCACTATAATTTAAATAAAGTTCATTTTCTTTCTAATAAAATGAAACCAAAAAGAAAAAAAGAAAAAGCACAATCACTTACCCATTACAAAATTTCAAAACAGAAAGAGAAATAAATTCAATATTCTTCCTCAAAACATCAAATATTCTAAATCCAATAAATCCTATCCTTTGAAAACACATATATCAAACAAAGAAAAAGATACAAAAAAGGGTTTGTAGCATTATTTTTTGCTATAATTAAATAAATATTCAGTTCGGTGTGCTTGTAGCGAGAAGAAACTGGATGGTGGTGTTGATGAGGGCGCTGAGACACCTAAATAAATTTTCAGTTAAATATGGTTCTATTTATTTTCAGTTAGAGAAGAAGAAAAGAATGAAAGGCGGAGAAAGAGAAGATGTGGACAAGGAAGAGCAAGAAAGGAAGAAGAAAATAAGCTTGTGTTTGGTTCGAGAGAAAATGATGGAAAAGAAAAAGAAATAAAAAAAGAAAAGAAAAGGAAAGGAAAATTAAAGAAAATAAGAGTCCCTCTATCGTTTGGTTAGGAAGAGAATTGAAAAGAAGATTGGGAGGAAAATGATAATAATTTAATAAAAACAAGGTAGAAATAACAATTAACATGTTATATACAGTCTATATTAGTAATTTTATAAATTTATTTTTCTAGATGAAAATTTGATACAACTGTTGTTGGTCCATTATAACAAAAGATCCATATTTATTAGTAAATAGCTATATTCTTGTGTACACAAAGGTTAAAGAAAAGGTTTCTTTTTCCAATATTACTCCCTTACATCTTTCTTATTTTGAATGAGTCCCTCAAATCATTGAAATTGCTATTAGACCCTTAAACTATTATGAGATTTTGAAATCCTGAATCATTTAACTTGTTAGTTGGTTTTCCTTAATTCTCATGTAATTGCGAAATTAGTCCGCCCCAGTTAAGAGTGAAAGTAACAATTAGGGTATAAGTTTCAAACAACTTATGAGAATTAGGGACCTAATTACAATTTCAATATTTGCAGGGAATTATTCTGAATTAGCTTGAATATTGTAGGACCTAGTAGAATTTTAATCATTTGAGCTCATTTCGAATTATAAAAGACATAAAAGACTAAAATAAAACCTTTTTAATTTAGGGGCTGTTTGGTTGTATGTTTTTACCATGTAAAAGGATATAAAGTGTAAAAAAGTGGGTCCCAATGTCAGTTTTCATCACTTTCAATTGTTTGTTTGTAGTTGTGAAAATAGTGTAAAACGATTTCATATGCTGATGTGGCTTGTAAAGTGATTTCATGAAAAAAAGACATGATTTCTAACATTGAAGTTAGGAAAAAATAATAAAAAATAATTCCAACCAATATGAACATTTGAATAGGGACCACTTTTTACACTATCCAAACAAACAATTAAAGTTTTATTTTACAAACCAAACAAGTGTTTTATGATTCCAATGGAATCAAAAACAAACAAAGAAAAGTATAAAAGTGAAATTGATGAGGTGGACAACAACTTTCCAAGTTGTGTCATAAATACACAACTTTACCAACAACAACCAAACAGCCCCTTATGGCAAACTACAGTAGGGTAATGTAACATTTCCGTGTGCCGCATGGGGCCCGCATAAAGAACAAGTGAACATGTTTTTTTTGCCTAAACCTGTACTACACCTATTTAATTCTTTTACTTGGGCCCACACGAAATCAACTGGGTGAGCAACAATTTTGGTGATGTGATGTCCGAAGAGTTCATCCCATTTGTCGAGTTCATTTCCATCCTCATCGATAAAAATTTTCCGTTGCTTTCACTGGGTCCCGACGAGGAAAAGGAACGGGAAAGATTTTAGTCCATTTTCCTTCTGCTTACTATTGTTTTTCTTTTCTTTTTTTTTTCTTTTCTTTCAAACTAAACAGTTGCAAACAATTTTCTTTCTCTCTTTCTTTTCCTTTCTTTCGATTTCAATCAAACCAAACACAGCCTAAGTGTGAACTGGAAAGTTAATTGAAAGGATTAAGTGAACGCATCTTTAGGTCTTCGTGGTTTTAAGACTTTGATTTTTTCCAAAGGGTTTGGATGCATACCATTTTATTTTTTATTCTCTATAAGTAATTTTCCCAAAAAATAATTCAGGGTGCCAAATGTAAAAATAACGTACAGAACTGAAAAATTAATAGTTGCACGCTCATCTATTTATTATATTAAAAAATATTAGGGAAAAATAAAGAGAAGGAAAACCCCCCTTTTTTTTTGTCTCCTCCGAAGAGACGAACTCGTTAATTTTCTATTCGTTGATATTATCAAAAATAATTGCGGGAAAGTTTGAAGATCATCGGATCTGAGGGAAGTTATTCGTCTACTGGCGGTCTAATTCCGGCGATCGCGGGATCGATTAGAATTTACGGCGATCGGAAGGGAATTCTAGGGTTTTGGGGATGGAATTTGGTGAGATTTTAGGAGATTGGCGTAGGATTTGAAGGCGGATGTTGTCGTTGAGGAGTAGGGATGAAGGGAGGAGGGGGATGGGGTTAGGGTTTCAATCGATGGAGGAGAACGAGCTTGAAGAAGGAGAGGCCTTCCTCAGACGCGAGGACGATGCTTACGTCGATCCTGAAGTCGCATTCTCTTATATCGTAAGAAACTTTGGTTTGTTTGATTGTTAAAAGGTCAAATTTTTTTAATGGGTGTAGATATCTGAATGAAGATTCGAGTCTTTTGGTGTTGTGATCAAGTATCAAAGAAGTTTTGATACTAATGCTTGGTGTAGGAGTAGAGTTAGAGATAATTGCAAGTCTAATTGGTGTTTGTGGTAAGATTTTGTGTATCGGGCGAAACTTATTAATGCTGGGATGTATAATTTTGGCTCTTTGGCTAGGATACTTGTCTGGTGACTAGAATTTCAGATTAAACAAAAATTTTCAAGTATTATGTCATTCTTTCGAGGTTAATGTATGTGACTATAGCGGTGTTTAGTGTCTGCCCCTTCATTTAGACTACTTGGTCTGTGGAAACACTATTAGTTTTCTTTGCCTGTTATCCAAATTTGAAGGTGTAATGAAATCTAATGCACCTAAAAGAACCTCGTTATATATTCAATTTGCAAGCAATGTAGAGTCAAGGATACCGACTGTTTGCTTTGCATAAAAGTAGTCATTGTAATGGTGTTCAAGCTCAATAAGGGAAAATATAACCTGATTTTCATGTGAACAATAATTGGGTAGTTGGCTACACACACACACACACACACACACACACACACACAAACCAGTCTGAAGTATGTAATATCTTCAAAGATGCGAATCTTTTTAGCGTTAGCTATATATGCTTGCTGACATCCTTATTGTTATGTTTTTAGGATGAAAAACTCCAAGACGTATTAGGGCACTTTCAAAAAGACTTTGAAGGTGGAGTCTCTGCCGAGAACTTGGGTAAGCCAGAATAAACACTATTGCCAGCAGAAGGTCACTAAATACCCAAATGTGGTAATGTAGTCCTAGATGTGGGTTTGAAATTTTTTTTCATTCACAGGAGCAAGGTTTGGAGGATATGGTTCCTTCTTGCCTACCCACCAGCGTTCTCCTTCGATTCTCTCTCAACCCAAGAGTCCACTGGCAACCCCAGATCATACTCTCTTCAAATCTCCCTACAATTCATCAGTTGAGGTACCTTTTTTAGATTATCACATTACTTTCCTTCAACTTGACCAGAGTCTAATTCAGATTCTAATGTTGTTATGTGTCTTTGTAAAGTGTGAACGACAAAACCCTTCAGTTTCAAGGGGTACAACAATCTCCAGAAATAACAATGCCTCAGTTATACAACCTGGTAACTTAAACAGAAAGGAGAACAGCATCAGTTCAGTTCCTGCTGGCAGTTGTTTTCCTCTTCTTGATTCCAATGTTAGACCAGTTAATGTCAGCAATACAAAGTCACTGAAGGTTCGCATTAAAGTTGGACCTGATAACACTTTGGCAAGAAATAATGCAGCTATTTATAGTGGTCTTGGCCTTGATACTTCTCCTTCATCTCCTGAAGACAGCGCTGGTTCTAGTCTACGGCTTTCTTCAACATTTCAAGATGCCTCTGGTGAATCTCCTTTGTCCATTCTCCAGGTAAAGTTTCTAGTTCAGTTCACTCATGTTGCTGTGGCTAATCAGGTTTTGAGTGAGAACAAATTTTGTTTTTTGAAATTTGATGGAGCAGGATATGACATGCTTTTCAGTTCCTGGTGGTCATTTACTGTCACCTCTTCAGGAGAATTTATTCCAGCTGACAGAAAATGAAAGCAATTTCCGTAGAAAATATGGGATTATCGATTATGGGGAACCAGATATGTGTGCTTCTCCAATTAAGACCTGGTCTATGAGAGCTATGAAAGGCTGCTATGACAAGAAAATAAAATCAGATGAGAAGAATAGTGAGTCAATAGAAGAAGAATGCTTGAGCTGCAGAGAGAATACAGTCAAAATCTTGAAGAAAGAAAAGGACATTGACACCCTGGCAAGTAAAAGCGGTGTTTTGACCACCGTAAATATGTCAACTAAGACCTGTTCAAGGACGCTTGATCCAAGATCTGAACAACAGATAACTGGTGACTCAACAAAAGTTTCTAAAAAGGCAGTGGGCGTTTCTGAAGAGCTAAATAAGCCTTCTGCCCAGGATGAACTTCCCTTACCTTCTCAAGCCAGAGACGATCAGACTATACCCATGGAAAATGTGAAAATTGGTGGTGTCACTAATTTGGTAAATGGAACCATACATTCCAAGAGGAAACTGAACTCCAAAACAAGTTCACTGGAGAAGGGTTTTAAAGAAAAAACTCTAAGTAATCATAAAAATATTTCATCTGAGACCCGGAGAGAGCGAAAAGACAAGAATAAGAAAAGTTATGATATAAGCAAATCAAACAATGACAAATATAATGGTAGGAGTGATCATGTTGCTGGTCATTCTGAGCTTATGAGGCAGATGCCTGCTCAGAAAGTTACTTCACATGAAAAGATGCTTCAAGTAAACAATCAAATGCATGAAGGTAATAAAAGTCAAAAAGGGAATCATACTAATTATCCACCACTGCTCGAATCAATTCAAACTCCAAGAAACCTAAGGGCTTCCTGCTCTGTGGTACCAAACGAAAATAAGAAAACCTCTCGTGGAAGAGTTCACTGTTCTGAAAATAAGTCTAACATGTTGAAATCCCATAAAGAAACTAACAATGCACATTCTAGAGAATCTCAGAGAGATGTTGTTGGGAATGTAAAGGCACAAAAGGGGGAGAACACGGCTGATTCATTGGAGCCCTTTACAGTCACTGAAAACTCAGTGGAGAGGTCAGGCGTCCAGCAAGAAGTTAATCTTCAAGCCAAGCTGATGGAAAACCCTCCGTTTACTTCCTCGATGTTCACTGTGCCGACTTCGGATGTGGCTGTTGCATTGGAGGCCCCTCCTAGTGTGCTCATAAACTGGGTTTGCTGCGATCTATGTGAGAAGTGGCGCCTATTGCCCTTCGATGCAGATCCTAATAACCTTCCAGGGCAATGGGAATGTAGCATGCAACTTTGGCTGTAAGTATCTTTCTGTATGAATTATGATTATGGTGACTTAAGTTACCTTTGTTCTTGATTTTCATCTTGTATGGTTTCTTTTTACCCTAATATTAATGCAGTAGTAATTTATCATTGAAGTGCTTATGTTTAAATGTTATTATACCTGTAAGGAAGTCACTTATCACTTATTTGATAAACAAATAATTGGGGTTTTGACTTTTTGTCATATTAGACCCCCAAATCTTTATACATTGTATAGTAGATCCTCAAACCTTCACATTTCAAAATTACACCACCAATCTCTTAAGTTGTTCCAAAAACGACCCCTTGGTCAGATGTAGTTACTCCACTTTTTGTCGCTGTTGTTAGCGTATTTTTTCTTTGGACCATTGTGTGTATTTTTTCTTTGGACCATTGTGCCCTTGAAATCCTCTAAATTGGGACTTCAAAGTCTGTGAGGATTTACGAATGAGAAAATCAAAAGAAAAGAGAGGAAGATTGGGGAAAATGAGGGACCGATTGGGAATGACAGAGAGAGAAAGAATGGTGGGGTCCGTGGGGAAACCTATTTCATAAGGTATTGATGTAATTTAACCAAGATGATTAATAGTAAACCATACTAGGGCAAAATTTTTGGTCAGAATCCATCCAGGGGGGGTTTTGTAAAGCATCTCAAGATATTTGAGGGCTTAATTTAGAAATATGAAGATTTGAGAGGTCTAATATGGCTAAAAGCATAAATAATAATAGGTTTATATCAAATGTTATGCAGCTAACTTTTTTCCATTGTTAATCTGTCACTTTTAATTTCTACTGGCCAGTTATTCATTTATAAGACTTAACTATATTACTTTCTGAAGTCTGCGTATTGACTTGTCGATACATGTATTTCTTTACTTATTTTCTTACACACTTGCTAAAGTATGTATATTGTGAAATGAGTCACAGAGTCATGATTGAGTAACCTCCACTGCACTAGATTTTAGGTAGAACAGTGACTTAAATGTTCATATTGGCTCCTGATAGGGGCTTTAGTATTTTGGTGCTGTGGTGCTGTAAGATTTTTTTAAAAGTCAATCAATTTTTTCTCTTTTATCAAAAATATTCAACCTACTTTTCTCCTTTTTAATGGTATTTGTTAATTATGTAAAACTTCATGCTTACTTATGTTTGGAGGTTGGGTGGTGGTGGTGGTGGNTGCACAGAATGGAAATTGCATGGATGCTGTAGTAGGTAACTTGAATTACATTTCTTTTGCGGGTAGTGATTAAAGATGCTTGTTGAAATATTAATAATAAAGTGGTATGTTGGTGCATTATATCTGTTATCTTAGGTATTTTTAGAAAAACAAGAAGATGCTGACGAAGGCATGTCAGATAAACTTGGAATGCTAGGCTTATTAGAACAATTTAAATAAAGCAAGGTCGTTGTTGTTGTTGTTGTATCTCATCATAACTTCGTGTTATAAGGACCGAGAAATACTTGTTATGGCATAAGATGTGTGGTACTATCTGAAACTATAAGCTAAGAAACTAGTACATAAGGAAATCAGTTGTCAGGACATACCAACGAAGGACAATGTGAACAATGACATACTGAAATGGCGAGACATGCAGAAAGTTGATGTGAAGAGTTGCTTTCTAAGGAGTGGTCAGTGGTCACCAGATGTGTATGAAGCATATGGAATATAGATTTTTAAATTTAATTTTCTATTTCTATACCTGATCCCAAATATCGGGAATAGCAGGGTTTTCTTTTCTTTTCTTTTTTTTGTTTTGTGGGGTGGGGGGGTTGGATTGGTGGCAACCAGCATTTGTATTTTTTTGGGGAAAACGTTTTAAGTTTTAAAATTATATCGACATTAAACAGCCAAGATAAAGGCTTTATTGATATTTTTATTTTTATATCCATGTGCGAATAAGATGGTTGTAAGATGCAATAGATGATAAAGTCATGTCATTGAGGATTCTTCGTACATATTTTTTTTCATTAAGTGTGAATAGGTTACATAGAAATTTGACATTATTATGACACAAACCTCTACTCTTAGTAAGTTAACAGTAAGGTGACAACTTGATTTGAATTTCATTTTAATGCATTCACCTGCAGCTTGTTGTTGTACTTATCTTTATATTATTTTCAGATACTTTTTATTGCAATATGATAGTCATTGAACTATACTTTAGAGTTTCACTGTTCAGAGGATAGTATTTCCTAGTCAATTAATGTTTGCAAATGTTGATTAGGCCTGGACTGAACAACTGTGATATCAGTGAAGAGGTTACAACAAAAGCATTTAATACACAATACCTGGTTCCAGCTTCCGAAATCGGTGCTAACTTAAATGGCCATCATAATATTGCTGCATCAAGCATTACGTCTGCTGACGCACAGCTTTCTGACCGAAGACTTGATCATGATTTGCAGAGCGTGGCTACTATAGGGAAGAAAAAGAGTGGACCAGTAGGTGTATCAAATGTTCCTGAAAATTCAGTGTCAAAGAAGAACCTTCAGGCCTCTGTCAAGAATAGAAGTTCAACCGGAGGGAATCAGTCTACTCTGGTTGCAAACTCTTCAATGAAAGCTGTTCTTGGGCTCACAAGCAAGTCAGTGGACTTCAATATGGAAAAGCACAACCACAAACAGAAGGAGAAGCATGAAATTTCAGAAGGCAATTCAGATGGAGGTAATATCTTGCATACTATCCTATTAGTTTTGTGATTTTTGCATGTAGTTGATTTAGCATGGATCCTTATCAATGGATTTATTGGCATGTACACTTTTTGTTACTATAACATTTTATAAATTTTTTTCTTTGCAGGAGATTTTGCTGGAAAAAGTGGCAGACATTCAAAGTCAAAGAACAAAAGAGAAGTCACTCAAGATGGATTTAGAACAGCTAAGAAAATTAAGAAAGCAAATTCTGATTATCTTGTTGAAGATCGGCTCTCTGATCCATATGAGACTGGCAAGGCAGCTCCTTACGTGGATGACGGTTTGGCTGCTAAATTAACGGGAAAGATTCTGCAGCATAACTTTGACCACTCTTCTTCCAGGGACTCCAAGTCTGGACTAAGACACAATATGTCAGCATCTAACAATAAGCCAAAAGGTCCTGTTCTTCTCTATTCAGATGGGATCTACAAAGATAATTTGAGGGCTGCAGATGTAGAAACGTCTGGTATACTTGACTATGCTTCTAAGAAAAGGAAAGTGAAAGAATGGCAGGAGAGTCAGGTCCACCAGGAGACTATGGTTAGCCCTCATCATGCATCAGACAGTGGACTTATTGCCATTGAAGCATTCAATGAAAATCAGTTGATGAAACAAAAGAAGGCTAAGGCATTCAGCTCTGAGGGCAAGGAGTCCATTGTGAGTAATGGAGATGAAAAAGCCGACAAGAGAGCTTGGTCCACAAGAAATTTGTTGTCTGTCAGTAGAGAGAAGCAGTCTGATGGGATGGCTGAGGAGGGAAGACTAGGAAGGAAGAAGCAACTGGAGTATCAAGAAACTGCAGTTTCTCGACAGGCTTTGGATGGCAATGACCCTTTGGAAAGGGATACAAATTATGCACAGTTGCCTACAGCTGCTACTTCAAGTTCTTCAAAGGTATCTGGTTCCCGCAAAAGTAAAGTTAACGTGCGGGAAATAAGGAGTTCTCCTGTGGAGTCGGTTTCTTCATCTCCAGTGAGGACCTCTACTACTGAGAAAGTCGCTATCCGAAGGAACTCGGCAGTGAAGGAGTGCATTCAGAAAAAAGATGCACGAGTTGATATCTCACCTGCTGGCGTTGAAGAGGTGAATGTTGTAGGTGATGCTGAGAATATACTGGATCGTGATGTCAAATATCTCTTCGACAGGCAAAAAGAAATCGTCATAGATGGTGGAGAGAATCTGTATTATCCTCGTCTTTCAAAAGAAACTAGGCAATGGAAGTCACGTAAGAACTCTTCTTGCTTCAAGGAGAGAGACAGAAGTTCAAATCCTGATGCCAACAGAGGCAAGCTGAAAGACTCGGAGACTGTCAATGACAGGAAGAAATTATACTCTATGAAGAATTGGGTCAATTTTCCATATGAAGCTGACGCCAACTGTAATGACTGTAATGATAATTGTACTCGTCATGAAGATTCAAGGGATGGAAATTTCAATTTGCAGTTGAAGGATGGAGATTACTCGGGAAAGAAAAATTCTTCTGCAAAGTCACCTCATCTTGATAGAAGAAATAATCACTTCAACTATGGATTAAGAAAAAATCTGGATGCTCATCACAAGGATATCAACTCGAGAGTTACATCTGCTGGAGGTGGTTGTAAGTCCAACTTGCAGGAAAATCTCCAACAGGAACCTTCTTACCCAAGTGAAAATCTAGCGAGTCTTTTGGATGACATTGATAGATCAGATGTTGCTTCAGGGAGAGGGATACCACAAACAGTCCAATCTCCAAAGGGTAAAAATGAAGCACATAATTCAGGTTCTCAAACAATACCTGCACCTACCAATGAAAGTAGGTCAGACACATACCCTACTGATGCGACGAATAAGCCTGACAACCAGATTGGTATACGCACTAATAGTCTGAGAGCCACTCCTAATTGTCATGACACTAGTCCAATGAGGCGGGATGGTCCTTCTGTTGCAAATGTTGTCTTGAAAGAAGCTAGAGATTTAAAGCACACTGCTAATCGCTTAAAGGTTAATATATTCATGTTTGAAAGAATCCCCTATTTGTTTTTTTGCGTCAGCATCTAAACAGTTGGTTTATTTTGCAGAGTGAAGGTCTAGATCATGAAAGTATTGGCTTATACTTTGAGTCAGCTTTGAAATTTCTATATGGCGCCTCTCTTTTGGAGCCCCTCAGTGCTGAATGCACCAAGCATGGGGAGATGAACCCCTTGGCACAAATGACATCAATGTACTCTGATACAGCAAAGCTATGCAAGTAAGTTCAACTAAGTTTCTCAAAAATATTGTCTACTTGTTAAAAGGGTTCTGCTGAAAACATGATGCCATTTTGCTTTCAGTTGAAGCAGTTATTAACTGCATAGATAAAATCTAACTTTGGTGCATATAAAAATAGCACATTTGGTTATTGTAGGAAACATAGATCCTTAATTATTAACTAACACTGTTCTCACCCTAGTACCATGGCCCTATGCTTTGATAAAATACTTTTAAGTAACCTTTAGTTTTTCTGCCACGTACAACAGCATAATAACTTTTACTTAGCAGCCCCTGATAGCTGCCTGGTTGTTGTCTATGGACCTATGGCAGAAGGATGACACTATTTCTGTGCATATTATTCAGTATAATAGAAAATGCCTCTTGCTGTTCCTTTTCAGGATAATTTTTCCTTCTGTACTTACAGTTCCCTTGAGTTCATCTGCAATCCCAGATTCCGAATCAAATAATTGTTTGATGGAACAGCAAAAATTCTACTATTGCATGTAATCATGTGGAGCGAATACTGCCCAGCTTTTGACGGGAAGATTTAAACGTTCCTTTTTCAGTTAGCACACTTGAGTTTTGCTCTCTGTATGGTCTTTTAAAGAGCCAGCTAACTAGTTTTAACAGATATTTATCGTCAGACATTGCTTTACTGGCTAGTAGCACAAAAACTTATTTGCAGAAGATATTGAAGACCTTTGCTGAGGCTATGATTACCTATTAAGTAATATACTTCCAAATTTTTGGTTGAGTTCAGGCGTACTTGATATTCATTTTAGCCTCCCAATAATAGACCTTTTTTCTCCTGGGGAAAAAATGTCTTGGATGGATATCACTTTCTCTGCTTGGATACCTATGCATATGCCTGTGGATACATGAAAGTTCATAGATTTTTGGTAACAATCAACTGTATATTCAGATTGTAGCGTACCCATAAATTAGACACTTTCTCAGGGTCCTAATCTTTATTTTGAGTTGCAGTAATTTAAATATTTGCATATCAAATTGATTAGTTTTCTTGTGCACGTTCTATGGTGGTCAGCTTATTTGAAAATTCAAGGACCAATCTTTGGATTGGTTCGTATTGTCTATTGCTCATCTTAATTGCTCCTTTTCCATTAAGACACAGTTGCGTCTTTCAAGTAACCTCCTTTTGCTATAATCTTGAACCAATTTTAATGTTGCAACTTCTAGCTCAGATCTAAAAGTGCGACCTTCCTATTAGATGATCCAGTAAGTAGTCTCTAATTTATGGTAGTCTCAACAGGTATTGCGCTCACGAGTATGAAAGGTGCAAAGAGATGGCTGCCGCTGCTTTAGCATACAAGTGCGTGGAAGTGGCTTATATGAAGGTTGCGTACTATAGAACTCCTGGTGCAAGCAAAGATCGGCATGAGTTGAGTACGGCTTTTCAAACAGTTGTTCCAGGTAATTGAAATATCTGCCAGTTCTTGTTGTGAAGCTTTTTTTACTATTACTGTTTCTTAGCCCTATGTTTTGCATAATTAAAACATAAGTCTTGGGTCTTAAACTGTTTGCTATTATATTTCCAGTAGAGCGATTTGCTACTGTTTATTGTCTAACTTTTTGTAGATCGTTAAGTTTTCATGTTTGGCAGAAATTAGGGTACAGATGTTTTGTTGAATACAAGAGAAAGTAAATATATATTGTATTTGATTTGCTGGAGGTGACCAAGTTCTATTTACGAAATGCTAACAAATGTAACCATTGAGCGGGTTATAGTTTCAATCTATTTTATTGGAACTAATGTTTGATCAGAATTTAGTGACAATTGCTTGAAGCTTTTCAAATCATCTATTAGTAGCTGTCCACTCTCATGCTAAGTTCTGATGGCCCCTCCCCCACACAAACACACACACACACACACATGTGCATTGGTAATATAGTCTCCTCTTGGCCAGTTACTTTTATTAGGGTAAATTTGTTCCTTTCTCACTGGGCAAAGACTACATAAGCTGCAGACAAAGTGTTTCCTTTTCTGAAAATCAGTGGCGAAGGCAGCACTGAACCAAAAATTTGTCTTTTATATGCATAAATGTATAATTGCATCAGAACGGTTCTGTATTAGAATTTGTACATGTAATATCCCACCAAGATAGTCCCACATCGGTGGGAGTGTGTGAAATTGAGGGCTTCATAATGTAAGTCACAGGGTTCAAGTGTAGCATTGGCTAGTCGATTTTAGCAGTGGTTTGAGCCAAACAATATGCTATACTCAATCGGTCCCACGGTTTGCAACGCGCCAACAGGTTCGCTGGCCCGGGGCATGACAAATGGTATCAGAACAGTTTGCCAGACGGATATGTGGAGCTAAGTGCTATGCGGGGTAAGTTCTACACCGCTTGAGCGTAGTGGGAGCCAGTGTTTTCAAATGCGCGCGCCTCCTTGCGCCTCATGCGCCTTACGATGCGGGGCGGTGGTGATGCGCCCCACATCTGATGCAGCAGCGCCTTTTGCGCCTCGCGTACATCCGTACTTTGTGTAGGATGCATGTAGTGCATTTCCTCATATAGTTTTTTTTTTTACATTTCAATCGAGTCTTTATACTTGATATTCCATATCCCAAAAAACAAAATAAATCGATTGGGCTTTTTTAATAACCTTCAATTGAGGACCATTACTAATCCTTAGTTTGGATATAAGTCTTGATTTAACATTTGATTTGAAAATTTATGAAATTTGCTACTATGTTGGGTGTTAGCATTAGAAATTAAGGCAATATATTGTGATTTTGTAGCAAGATATTATTTATCATGATATTTTTTATGTAAATTCTAAAAATATGTTCTTTCGTGCTTGATTACATATATTGAAATATTATGTGTGTGGTGTGCGCCTCGCATCACTCGGGTGCGCGCATCACGTTACGCCTTACGCATGTGCGCGTAAAGATGCTTTGCGCCTCGCATTGCGCTTCGCGCATTGAAAACACTGGTGGGAGCTACCTCTAGAACCTGTAGGAGATATTTTTAGAGTCCACGTCACCTGACGGTGATACTGGGATGTGCCAATTGTCATGTCGGGATGAGAACGTCGCATTTGTAAGGTGGGGTGATTGTAATACCTCACTAAAGTAGTCCCACATCGGTGGTAGTGTGAGAAATTGAGGGCTTTATAATGTAAGTCATGGGGTTCAAGTGTAGCATCGGCTAGTCGATTTTGGCTGTGGTTTGAGCCAAACAATGTGCTACACAGTGGGTCCCATGACTTGTAATGCGCCAACGGGCTCCCGCACCCGGGCGTGATATCACAGCCATATAAATATGGTTATTTGCAGTTAGCCTATTGCTCTGGAATATGCTTATTGATTTCAGCACATGCTGATGCACACCATGAATTTGATTTCAGTGTTTTGGTAAAATCCTATTTAGAGGCATTGTGTACGAAACATTGCGATGTAGGCTTTTTAAAAAAGCATCACTATCTGATACACACACACACATTAAATCATTAAATTTCGTGCTGGAGTACAGTTATATTATTTAAAAGATTGCACTTAGTTAATCTTGTGGTATCACTTTCTTTCATAAAATTAGTTCAAAATGGACGTGACTGAAAACACACAAATATAAATGAAAATCGTAAAAAACAAATCTATAAAGAATATAATTACAGGTATATAATACATAAATTTTATATTTAAGAAGATCAAATTAATATATTTACAAAAGGTTACATGTATATAATACATAAATTTTATATTTAAGAAGATTAAATTAATATATTTACAAAAGATAAATTAAATCTAAGGAAAAGATTTGTGAAAGAGTAATTTTATTTTTGTACTTTGTGTATTCATAGTCATGAAAGCAATATAAATGTGAAAAAATATTTGTAGGGTTTTGTTTTTTTGATAAAGAGATTAAAGTCATTTTGGTTGTTTTTACCTCCCATAAAATTGAAAGATGTATATTTTCTTTGAAATACAAATATTAATAGATATATATGTGATTATTCTGATAATTTAGCTCGTATACTTGTTTATTTCAAGATGTTACTTATATTATTTATTTAATTGGTGCCATTATGAATGCATTAATTCAGTTTCATTAACTACATTTCTTATTAAGGAAGAAACATAATGTTTTGCATATTTTTAGATAATCTTTTAAGATCCTCTTCAATATGATTTTAGAATTACTGAATACTTAAAAAATAATTTAAAGATGAATACTGTTTATGGAACATACTTGAAAAAATCGGATGTGCTTATTTTAAATACTTTTAACCTTTTAGATTTTTCCATTTGATTTTTTATGTTAAAGATTGTATCTTTGGACAATAACTTAATAGATAAATATAGGCCTTATTGCAAAGTATTATTCTTTTTACATATTAATTGTGTGAGAGAGGTAGAGAGGAAATGAAATTTATTATATTTAAGATAAAATTACTAATTTATCCTCCATAGTTCTAGTGATGTTGGCCTTGCAGTGGTTATATTTTGCACATGTTAATTGTGTGAGAGATATAGAGAGATGGTAGTCGGAGGAAAGGAGGAAAGGAGTGCGCCAGGGGGTGGGGGTGGGGATAGGAAAGAGAGGGTGAATTGAAATTTATTATATAGTTAAGATAAATTACCATTTTATCCTCCATAGTACTACATGATATTGTCTTCCCTTCAAAGTTTTCTTCTACCCTCACTTCTGTTATATAGTAGTACTGTAGTATATATAACTCAATAGATGTAGACCTTATTGTAACAGTGTACTAGAGAGGGAGCATTGAAGATCATCTACCAAATCACTGGGAGGTGTGTATCAAAATGTAGCACTGCATGTTGTGAGCCACAATTCTCTTGCATGTGAAAGTTCCGTTGGCTGCCCATGTAGTTGTGCAGCTGGCTGCACACCTCTCAAATTGTATATAGAGAAATAAGACAATTCCTCCAATAAGAATATGTTGCCTCACGTCTGTTCAGGACCAACATTTTACAAATAACCATTATTCATCTTAAATATCTATGTTAGGTCCTTTGATTTAAAGTTAATAATAACCATTATTCATCTTAAATATCTATGTTAGGTCCTTTGATTTAAAGTTAAATTTAACAGTTTGACTGATATTAGGTCCTTTCATATAGGGGGGATATTAGGTCCTTTCATATAGGAGGGAAACAACCTGATACATATATATTGTTATATGATTTAAATTCACATATATAGGAGATGGACATATGTAATATTGCACTTCTCTGTATATTTTGGGCAGTAGTCTTGTCCAAAACTCCGTGTTCATTTAGGAGTTCAATACTTGTGTTTATATCTACAATTATAAATTTTCACTTAGTTTAAGGCAGAAGGTTGATTCCTTTTCAATGCAGGAAAGGAATTCAGGTGATTTTCTCTTGCACTCATATGTTATGATTAGATCTTTCTCCAAAAACTTGTGCCAACTTTATATTTTGTAACAATAATTCAAGAGTTGGGGGAAAAACTTGCTGGCATTCTTGTATAATGTTCGTTCCAGGGAAACTGATGGTTGCTGTTTTGCTTCTCATATATAATATAATTCGTAATCCATATAATTATCTCTGCTTCTGTAAGCTGCTAAAGGATTATGCTTGCTTATTGACATAGCACTTTTGTTATCTCAGGCGAATCACCTTCATCATCTTCTTCAGACATTGATAGCTTAAACAGTCAGGGAGCATTGGATAAAGCTGCTTCAGCCAGGGCTGCTGGTTCACCAATTGCTGGCAATCTTGTTATTGGTGCTCGTAACCGCCCTGCCTTTTCCCGGTTGCTATCTTATGTAAGTTGGTTACTTTAGTTTAAATAACACGCAAAAGTTTTTCTTTTTTGCAACATAAAGCAGAGAATCCAGACAAGTCGTATAGTTATGTTCATAAGCATATGCCACTTTGTAGAAGTCTTAGAACTTTCCAGTTACAACATCTAGCTTAAGACCAAACATAAAGCTCACATAGAGTTCTACACACGTACATCTTCAAAATATTAGTCTAGAAACAGCATAAAAACCATAACCAAAGAAGAACATCTCATCAAAGTATAGTAAGTAGCTCAAAATTGCACCCAGCTGACATCAGAACTTCTAGCAGATGGAAAATCCACCTCAAGAAGGAACTTCAATTACACAATAAAAATGTAAGAAACATGGAAGCATATCCGGGAGATGGGCACAGAAATTCTTTAAAAACAGTATATGAAATACAACATTGTCACTCACATCATAATTATATTAAATTGTTTTGTTTATACAAGGAGAGTACATGAACTTGCCAGAAAAATAAATGCATACGCATGAAAACATGTGCTTTAATGCTAATGCACATACTAATTTCTGACAACATGATTAACATTTAGAGTATTCAAAATATATATTCTTAATTGAGCATTTTTCTTTATAAATCACTATCTTCATGTTTCGTTCATGAAGTATATTTAACGTATGAAGAAGAAGAACAGTAATACAGATGTCTATGTGCAGCTAATATGAAACAATCATTTAAGAAGCATAAAAAAGTGTCTTAGAAGTATCCAAAATGTGTCAAAAGTAATATACTATAAAAATTCACGACACGCTGGAGATTGTCTGATGTGTACCTAAGTAGCACCCAATAAGTGTTTGTACCCTACCACGTGTTGAACAAAAATTCTCTTAGTATGCATAGGCAGCTAACAACCTGAATTTGCTCATTACATAAATAAAAGTTCCTTTTCCTTTATAACCCAACTCCTGGTCACCTTACACCGTTACAGATCCTCAAGAAACGTGGGATTTCTATATACTCTTTTCCTTCACACATTCATCAAGACCTGAAGCAACCAGGAGAACCAGTAAAACCCTAAGAACTCTTAAAATAGTCTCATATAGTTAAACTGAAGATAATTAATCAAAAGATAAATTTAGCCTTTTTGCCATTGTAATGTAAATACAAACAATTCATATTAACAGGCTCACTGGGTAGAAGCTCATTTTGGATAATCAGCGATCTGAAAGCCTGAAACTATCAGGTCGTTTTGAGGGAAGCAATGTTTTGCTAAACATATTAAAAGTGACACTAAGTCCCCCTTCATAAGAATTTTTTATGGAAGGAACTAATAAGACTGCACATCAGGGTTCCATCCTTATCAGATTGAACCAGGAACAGCCTACTGGTACGTAATAAAAATTAGATCTAGCCAACTCATAAAATCTGTTCGATCAATTAACTTTCTAAACTGAGAGCTTCAGTCTCTTACACTATTCACAATCATTTTCTGTGAATAAGAACGAAACTGTCTGAATGAATAATGATTTCAAAGTGAAGGAAACAAGCAAAAGTGTGGCATTATCAATCCATAGTCCACAAACAATGATTTCTGTTCATACTAGCTATGATAAGGTTGGCTAACAAACTTATAGCGAGTCCTGACTAGTTGTTTTATTAGGATCCTTGCATGGAACTGCTCTTATAATCTGTAGCTGTGTACGCATGTTGATACGTGACTGATGATTGGGTTAATATACTTAAGGTGAAATGTGGTGCTCCTTAAAAGTATGAGGTGTATATGCTAGAACACCTGTTTTAGAAGAATTTGGATTTTTTTTCCTTTGTAGATTCTTTTCTCATGTATCTATTTGGAGCATAATGACATGTACATAAGTTTTCTGCACACATTTTTAGTTATAACCATTGATACGGACTCATCTTGATTACTTATCATTCTTGGATGCAAGAGTGTTGATATCATCCCATGAACAAGGGTGTGGAAAGAAAAGGGTGAACAAAGCAGCAAGGTAGGGCTTTGGCTTTATCAGTGGCGTCACGGAAAATTGTCAAGAGTTTTTCAAAAGGAAATTAATAAATGGTAGTAAAAATAGAAAATAGCAGAAAATAATAAAAAGTAAGAAATTGCATAACAAATTCAATTAACGAGAAAAATCATAACAGCAACAATAAAATGCAAGTAATAAGATTATGTTTACAATGTGAAAATCTTCTAATCTAGAAGTGGAGGCTATACTGTTTAATAATAGACATAGCTGAAAGAGAAGGCATAAGCTGGCTGTATTGGGTTTTTACAACAATGTACATGAATGTATAATGTGAAGGCATTCACTTTAGCAGAGCATTCGTGAAAACGCTGTCAGGAGTTTACGGGGGAAAAAACTGCGTAAAATAAAAATAAAGAAATTGCATAATGAATTAATCACGTTAATAAATTAATTAATTACATTAATAATAAATTAGTTAAATAAATAATATATTAATGCTAAAATCATAATGACAGCAATAATCAAAATCAATATAATAAGATTATGTTCACAGTGAAAATCTTCTTAATCTAGAATTGGGGCTAAAGTCTTAAAGAGCAAGAGTACATAGAAGAGAAGTCTTAAGGTGGCTTTATAAGGGTTTATACGACAGTGATCATGAATAGCGATTATGATTAGTGGTTTTTATGGGAGTGTTTAAGGTGTAGTGGTGTACTATATTTAGTTTTATTATTGACTATTATCGATTCATTCTTAGATGACTAGATATCGCTGTTTATATGTTTGTGTTAGTACTTAATCCTTCAATGAAAAATTCTAATATCGTGAAGCATGAATTTGATAAATGGATATCATAAACAATGGTGCTTAAAGTGGTATTAATTGGATATGTTTGCAGACACTTGATCTTAATTGTGCATTTGATGCTACAAGGAGATCTCAGAATGCTATTGCAGTGGCTAGTGCAAACTTGGAGAAAGACGGAGTTGATGGCATCTCTTCAGTGAGAAAAGTTCTTGACTTTAACTTCCATAATGTAGAGGAACTTCTTCGACTAGTACGACTTGCAATGGAGTTGATCAGTTGTTGAATATTTGAAGACTGAGGATCCTTTACATATGTCTTCTCCATATTATACCTCTTCATGTCCGCCATAAGGGAGGGAAGCTTATCCTGTTCCTTGTTTACCTCTGTGATGGCATTACCAAAAGAGGTTTGGGCATAACAGGCAGGGGCTTCTTGTGAAATGTGTACATATTGTTCTGTTTGCAATTTTTGTATAGTATTCTTTGCAGCCTCGGGCCTTTTAGATTGATAAGGTTCTTAGCTTCTGACCCATTGGTGTACGGAGTTGTGCAAAATGGAGTTGGCTCTCTTAGGCTGCATTGACAGTGAGACGGGGAGTACATCGTTGATTGTGGATTTGTATCCATTCTAGGAATGGATCTGAGCGGAGGATGCTATGTTTCCATCTTTTGGCTCTTCTATCTGCTAGATTTTTTGTTACTTTATATTTATGACTAGAAGTGGTACATTCATTTGTACCTCTTTTCTTAAGCTGCTGCTCATCACTTGTTCAAGAATGCATGGAGCTTAACATGACTGACATAGATGAACCTGGTATGCAATACTTTTTGCAAAATTTCAGGAATTTTCGAACAATTTTATTATGCTAACTTATCATAGTTTTTGGAAGTATTGTTTTCTTCTTTCCAGAGTTAAAATGTGATGACAACATTAGGTTTTCCTAATATGCGCTGTTTTGGTTTTCTCCATGCAGGTTGGCCTATTAAGTTCTGTACCATAAGCATGGGGTTTTTTCTTGTTGTCCTGGTGAAGGATGACTGGTATTGGGATGGCCGACTCGTACTGGAATGATTACTTTAGACTGTATACATTCATCTAATTCTTTTTAATCTAATAAGAAGAATTGAGTGGTACCCTTACCTGAAAGGTATCATGTAGTTGAAATCTATGAAAGTTATCAATTTTTTCTTATACATGCTTGTATTGTCATATCAGCTGCTATAATTCTAAAATTCTTCCATGTTGGCAGGATGCATGTTAGGTGCAATGTCATTACACATAAACCTTGGAGGCAGGAGTTTTGATTTTCCCCCCCTGCAGTCCATGTTGCTGTTATAACTTGTGTTTTTATCAGTGAATACCAGGTCAGCTAGTTAATTGCAGATCTGTTTCTTTCTTTCTTTTTCTGTTTTCTTTTCAAATTTTTTTTTGTTGTTGTTGCACCCAATAACCATTTTAATATATTCTAATAGGAAAAAGAGGAAGTCATTCTTTCTAAGTTACGTAAGGAAAACCATAGATAGTATGTTAACATTTGCAAAAGAAATAAATTATGCATGGTGCCTCATCCATTAAAGTCGGACCATAAAATCAAGTTTTGGGATCAACAGCTGCTGTTTTCTTTTCATATGTTTCTGTAGTAATAGATGCTTTTCCTTTTTGGAAATACATTTTTAGAAGATAGCCTCAGCATTTTATTTTAAATCTTAACCATTCTTGTGTTTGCAGTAGGTACTATGAGCAAGTTGGTCTTCTGACATATTTCCTTTTCAGTGGTTATTTACTGTATGATTGCTGCATTTTCATTGCTTAAATATCAAAGCTCCTTTTAGCCACTATACCTGAAAGATATCTAAAGTATATTTATCTTTCTGCCTATTTCGTCTGTTCTGTACTCGTGCCTCCATTTTCATGTATCCTGTGAGATAATTGAGTGCGTCATGAATGCTGGCAATAATGATCAATACTTTTGGTTAGTAGAATTCAGTGCTGTTTATAGAGGTCTGAGGAAACAGGAAATCTTTAAATGACAGTAAAAATCTTCTGTATAGATATCCAGATTAAGGGTGCTTACCAGAGAATTTGAGGAGACGTTGGGGCACACTTCTGGACAAATATCAAGGAAAAGTGCAAAGCACAAAAAAATTGCAATGGCATACTATAATTTATGATTTAGACTACATGGGAACAAAAGGACATATTGCAAGTCAGGGATATTAGAAAGAGGTGAGGTAAACCTGGTTCGATCACCGAATTAAGGAAAATAGCGTTAATTGTGGATAGACCCCTTTAGGCCTTTACTATCGCCAATTGCAGATTGACCCCCTGGATTCTCAACTCCGTTAGTTTTCCCATTTAAAGTCGTTATAATGTAATGATCGTTATGCAAGGTTATAGTAAGTGAACCAATATATGAAGCTTATACAGTCGTAAGTTTCAGTTTATGAAGCTCAATGTTAACTTCATGTTAACGGAGTTGAGAATCTAGAGGCTACCTCTGTATGGACCTCAACTGAAGGCAAGCGCGAGTTTAGAGGATTAGATGAAGTGAAGCTTCAGAGTAGGATATGAGAGGGTTAATGTAGCTGACAGAAGGTTGTAGCTCAAGTGTTGTGCGTCAGAAGTAGACATTAGACACCGAGTGCTGTGCATGTGCTACGAGGTGGCGGCTACCATGAGATAAGACATGGTGAGGCCCACCTTGCTAGTAGTCATATTGGTGGGCCTTTCCGCCATTTATCTCTTGGTAGTTAATTTAACAAAATGATCAGTCGCCACATAAAATAATAATAACCACCACCATCACCACCACATATTACTGCTGAATTGCTCGACTTAGAAAGGAAACTGTAGATTTTTTTTAATGTTCTAAAAGCTATAAATTCTTGATGTCTTTGAGTTAACTATATGTTTGTGCTATTTTCAGGTCAGGCAGCTATGGTCGATGGTAACAAGAGGCTTCTACTAATAACTGTCGGATTTCTATTGAATTGTTCATACGAGGACGGTCTAAAATTTTTTGATTGGACTGAAAAATCCCCTCCCAACTTGGGTATCATTTGTAAATAAACATAAGAATCAATTTATTCATTTTGAATAAAAGTTACAAAATCTCTCGAGGATTTTGTCGTCGATGCTTCAGAAGCTTCAATTTTGAAAAGATGGGTATTAACCTTAGCTCCGTAGTGTATTATCTTTTGTGTCGGTCCGTTAATAACATGTCTTGTAACCCAATCTCTAAAATTGTAAATTCCGGTCACCAGTAAACAAGTTTTGAGGCTTATTGTTGTATGAAGTACCAAGATGGTCATGTGCTTTGTTAGTAAGTTCGAAGATAGAGCTTCGTCGTGAATGTTGGGTTCGTTTTGAGGAATAAATGCTCTGCTTTGTTAGTAAGTTAGAAAATAGAGCTTTGTCGTGGATGTTGGGTTCATTTGAGGAGCAAATGCTCTTGTATAAAGCTAGCACTTACCTACCCTATTGTTTCACCACTTTTACACTTCAATATCCTAGGTTGTAAAACGTAGCACCTTGATACCCTAAGTTGTAAGAAAGCGACACTTAATTAATATCGTAAGTTGTAAGAGAGTAGCACTACAGTACCTCATGTTGGCTGTCAGGACATATTCTTAGGAATATTCTCGTGAAAACTATCAAAATGTATTAACGCTCGAATTTTTTTACAACTTAGGATATTAAAGTGCAAATGTGGTGGAATAGTAGGGTTTTTATGTGCCATTTAGCCTCTAAAAACCAACTAAAGAAAGAAGATCCTAAAGACAGCGAGATTAACTTTATGAAAATTTCTTTAAGGACCCAAAATATGGGACCAATAGAGGGGACAAGTGAGGTGTCCCCCTCTTATTGGATAATGAGTTGACCATCATTAATGATGGCCAACTCATTATCCAATAGGAGGGGGACACCTCACTTGTCCCCTTTATTGGTCCCATATTTTGGGTCCCTGTAGCAAAGCTCTAACTTTATATTCACTTGCCTTCATCCATACCCTCCAAGTTGTTCCTGCTTTTTGGCCAGCACAGAGACATGAAAGCACGAATTATTGCTTGTAAATGGCCAATTCCTTCAATAAGCTATTCGAAGTGCATATAAATTTAAAAAAAAAAGCCACTAGTCAATTCTGTAGCAGTCTCACTAGCCCTGGTTGCGACACAGGGAACAGCTGTTACATTGGAAATATTCTCCATTAAATATATTATATAGATGCTTCCGAGATTTTCTCCCTCTCTCCAGTATAACATACTAGAGATGATCCCAATAGATGCAAAACATGGATCTTTCATATAGTATCAGAACAATCCAGATTCAGTTCTTACTATGCGCAAATTTCTAAAACACATTTTAGAAAAGATGTCGAGCCATATTCTGGCCCGTGAAAACATGGATCCTTTGAAATTGAACTTATTAGAGATTTGTTACACAAAGACGCGTGTTTCTCTCTCTCTCCCTCCCGTCAAGACACGTGGTCTGCCTATCAATATCAAGCTTAAGAGATAGTAACTGGCACAACATGATAGAACACGAGATCTGTGTGCAGCTTGGAAATGCTAGACACCGCTAATTCTTAAATTTAGAATAACTATTATGTGCCAACTATTTTATTTGTACATGTCCATGTTTCTATGAGATGTTATTTCTCTGTTATTTGCGCCGGTCCTAACGGTGCAAGGTGACGCCAATATGTTGCATAGAGATCTATGATGCTTTAGTGTTTTTGCAGACTCCTTATTTTCTTGTAGGATTATCTGCAAATAGAGCCCTTGCATTACACGCCATTCTTGTAACTTATTACTCCCGTGCCTTCTTTTTTGGCAAATAGACCTCCTGGGTGAAACATTTTGACTCTTTTACCCC